CCAACCCAGTCCTGAAGTCCGAGGGCTCAGAGCGGCTGTTCCCCATCTGTTTACACCCCCGCAGTCCTGCTGGACCAGAAAGCTAGGATCACGTTTAGGGTAAATGGACAGCAGAGCCAGAGATGGGGTCAACACGGGGTTGGAGACAAGAATCTCTGCTAACCAGGGCATGTCCTCACCCTCAGGGAGGCTCCAAGGCTGACTGGAGCAAAATCAAAGTGGTGTGGGTTCAAGGTCCACCTTTTTTTTTTTTTTGCCTCTGTGTGACCTTGGACAAATAATAGAGTTTGTCTGCCTGCTACTTTCCTGCTGTGAACGTGCCTCCCCTCCTTCTCCTATACTTCTGCTAATTAGACCCTCCACTCACTGTGCTCCCCACCCACTCTCCTCTGCCTGTAACAGGTTCTTAGAAACTAGTTTTGCTAAAAAGCATTGATCCTCACCTGGGTCCACCAGGTTACTGAAAATTAGAGGGAAGTCTGGAACCCCTGCCTCCATGTTTACATCTGCCTCCATTGCTCTGAGTCTCTCTCTTGCAGTCACTTTGCATTCCAGGAAGGACAGGACTGACAGATAACATTTATGACAAGGGACTGCAACTGCCCATAAGGAAGAGTGGACCGTGCAGGACATACCATCCTCCAAATGAGGACAATTACCTACAACGAGGAGGCTGCACCCTGGCGCAGGAGCAGTCATCTCGTGGGGACCAGATTGCTCCCCTCCAGTGACGACAGCGATAGCATCTTCTCCAGAATCCTTAACGATCCAGGACTGAGATCACGGCTGACCAGGCCACACTGCGACCAGGACTGCTTAATTCCACATACCTGTCTCCCCAATTCTTCCTCTATTTAAACCCAAAGTTCACGTCTGTACCCCAGAGATGGGCGGAAGTGCATGCCTTGCCTCTTCTGAGGCTGCCTGTGTCGCCTAAAGCTTTCTCTGCCCTTTGCCTCTTCTCTTACTTGTCACGGTGAGGCGGGTGGCAGGACCACACGGTCGTGCCTTTGACCTGGAACTCTGCTTCCAGCCCGGCCTCCACTGTGCTCTTCCTGACGAAAAGTGGAGGCAACAGTCAGAGGCTCACTGGCTCACAGAGGCTTGGCTCTTTCCGGCTGCTGCGCTTTTCTGAGCCGATCCAGTCACTAGAAAGTTCTTTTGAGGTGCTGGGGATTGAGCTCAGGGCCTTGAGTTTGCTAGGTTAGTGATTTCCACTGAGCCGAGTAACCGACCCTTTTGTTTGCATTTTGGTTTTGAAACAGGGTCTTGTTAACTTTGCCTGGGCTGGCCTTGAACTGTGATCCTCTGGCTCTCCACCTCCTGAGTGGCTGGGATTACAGGTGTGAGGTGAGCCTCTGCACCAGGATACAAACTCTTTCTGATAGGCCAGTCTATCAGAACCTACATCCATGAAGTAAGTCCCTACCTAGATCAAGCTGGATGTTCTAGTGCCCGCGGCTATTCATCCTCTGGCCACTAGGTGGCACTGCCAGTCTGCCTTTGACTTGATTGTCACACCCTCAGGCCACCAAGACCCCTTTCTGGGCCTTCCTGGGAGCCAGAGCTGGGAGGACCCAGGGAATAAGTCCTGGATTTACTTGGGGGATTCCAAATTTAATCTAATTTGTCCAGTTGTTTGTGGGTTTTGTGTGTGTGTGTGTGAGCACTGGGGTTTGAACTCAGGGCCTTGCTCTTGCTAGGCAGGTGCTCTAGCACTTTAGCCTCGTCCCCAGCAGTTTTGTTTGTTTTCAAGACAGTCTTGCTAACTCTGACTGGGCTGGCCTTGAACTCTCGATTCAACGGGCTTTATTGATTTTTATAATGTAGTCTTTGGTTGACCAGGATGGTCCTGGGGCTCCAGTTTTGGAGAAGAAGTTATCTGGATACCCTTAAAACACTTCATTCCCAAGCCAGGCATGGTGGCATATGCCTACAATCCCAGCACTCAGGGTAGTGAGGCAGGAGAACCTCAAGTTCGAGGCCAGCCTGTGATATATGCAGTGAGACCCTGTCGCAAAACAAAAAACCCAAACTCTTCTCCAGGCTGGGGGTGTGGCTCAGTGGTAGAGAACGTGCCTGGCATGGTAAAAAAAATATGAGAACATACAAACAAAAGACCCCTGTCCCTGCCCCGATCCCACTTTCTTTCCTAGTCACAAAAGCAATCTCTTTATGGAATTAGCCTGGCACCACTGGGTGACATCACCGTGTCCCTACCCAATCCGCTAGGTGTGCTCACCGTCCACAGCCTGCCCTGCAACCTGTCCACCATCTTCCCTCAAGCAAATAGGCAGAACCTCAGAGGACAAGGACGGGTGGCCGTGGTTAGGCAGGGGGGTCTTGGCACGTTTCTGTGCTGGGTGGGGGCGGGAAGCCCTTGGCAGGAGGTGGGAAGTAAGGGGGGGGGGGCGCTGGGAGGTGGCCTGGGGCTCAGGGAAGCTCCTAGGGTGACAGGTGTTGGGGGTGCCAAGGAGACTGTAGCGGAGGATGGCATACAATTCCCAGCAGGACCGGGAGGCAGGGACAGAAGGCCAGATGGAACGTGGGTGTCAACCTAACAGATGGCACTGTCACTGAAAACTTCGGGTGTGGTTGGCTGACAGCAATTCTCTGCCTGTTCCCTCGGAAGCCAGTGCACTGGGACACAGGCCTTCGTCTGCCTGTCCCGGGGACCCGGCTTTCGGCAGGTGAGCAATGGACATCAGTAACTGTGGTGATTTGTGACTGCGGACGGGAGACGCACACTCAGAGTGAAGCCAGACCTCACGGCAGTGGACAGAGCCACACGCGTCTGTGTCTGGCTGTGCGCCACCATCGGTCACTCAGGGATGACGTCTCTTTCTCTCCACCTTCCGCACCACCTGCATTACAGGAGGGGACGGCCAGTGTCTGCTCCAGTTCGTTTGGGCTCTAGCAAAACACTGAGGGCCAGGTCACTAATAAACCCCAAGAGTTAAGTCCAAAATCAAGGCGCTGCCACCAAGTTCGATGTCTGCTGTATGCTTTTTTTTTGGGGGGGTGGAATTGGGGCTTGAACTCAGGGATTACACCTTGAGCCACTCCACCAACCCTGGGAAGGTTTTTTTGAGATAGGGTCTCTCAAAATATCTGCCCAGGCTGACTTCGAACCGCAATCCTGCTCTCTGCCTCCTGAGTAGCTAAGATTACAGGTGTGAGCCACCGGTGCCCAGCTTGCTGTGGGCTCCTTTGATGCTTCATTGATTGCAGTTTGTGGGCCTGGAGTGAACCTTCTACGCCCTTCTGGTGGCAGTGCTCACACCTCATCTGAACATCTATGGCATTCTCTGAAACTTTTTTTTTTTTTTGTAGGTCTGGGGTTTGAACTTAGGGCTTTGCACTAGCAAAGCAGGCGCTCTACCACTTGAGCCACGCCTCCAGTCTATTTCGTTCTGGTTATTGTGGAGATGGGGTCTCAAGAACTGTTTTTCCTGGCAGGCCTCAAACTGTGATCCTCCCAACCTCAGCCTCCCATAGCTGGGATTACAAGCACGAGCCACCAGCGCCTGGCTCTGAAACCCTTCTGTAGAGAACGGGCGTCACCCTTCCAGACCAAAGGTCAGCCTTTGGGCCAGCTTGAAAAAGGAGATCATGGGCCTCTAGAGAACTATATGCCCAGACTGGCCTCAAGTCACGATTCCCCTGATCTCTGCTTCCTTTGGTAGCTAGGACTATAGGGGTTAGCCACCTGAGCCCAGCTGCTGCTCTGACCTTTGACCTCTACAACTCCTCACTGGCTGCCCCATCATTTAGTGACCTCTCAGAGAACAGCAACCCCTTCCTCAGGAAAACAGCTGCTAGGGTAGGGGCCAGAGGTCTCACTGTGGAACAATCGTCCAGTGGACACAGGTGCTCTGGCCTTGAATTTCGATCCTCCTGATCTCAGCCTCCCAGTAGCTAGGATTACAGGTGTGAGCCACCAGTGCGCAGCTCCCGGGAGTGCTGGAGATGAACACTCAGGGTCTCTGCACACACTAGGCAAGCCCTCCCACTGAGCTGCACCCTGGCCCCTTGGCTGCTTTAAACCCTCCTAGGAGCTAAGAGCACTCCCTCTCCTGCCCCCAAAGACACATGTGCAGCTCGTGACCAAGGCACAAAGGACACTGCAACCTAGAAGCCCTTGGATTCAACTTTTTTATTATTATTTTTTTGTTCTTTTTAAATGTCATGCAATAATTCACAGTCCCAAGCCCACAGTTTTCAAACAAGGTAGGAAAAAAGAAAAAAGAAAAAAAAAAAAAAAAGAAAAAAAAGAAAAAGAAGAAAAAAGCCAGGGAATTGGTGGTGGTGGTGGTCTTTTTTTTCTTTTCTTTTTTCTCTTCTTTTGTTATTTCAAGCAGGACCAAATGTCTGAAAAATGCTTTTTGTTTCTCAATCGTTAATTTTTTTTGTCCTTTTTAAAATCGTTTATGGTTATTTTTTTCTTTTAAACTGATCTGTGCAGGCAGTAGTAGAAGGGTGGCATGGTCCCCAGCAAGCACTCCTGTGTGTCTGAGAAAGAGGGTGAGTCTCTGGTGTGGGGCGCTGGGTGTCCACTTCTTCCGGCTGGGTCACCACTTGTAGACACCAGATTCCGTTCACCAGGGAAAGGAAAGATCCAATTGAGATGATAAAACTCATCAATACAAGCTCTTTTTGTCTTCCCGTTTTTCTTTTAAAAATGTTTTTTTTTTTTTTTCGTTTTCCCCGAAGTTCTTCAAAAAGGGCTGAGTTAATTCGAATCCCTTGGCTGTGGCGTTGTTCTGCCCTTGACCCCCGCGCAGGGCCCTGGGTTGCAAGTGGGGCGCTGGGGGGCGGGGAGGCGGCCCAGGGGACCCTGGTGGGCCCCTCCCCCGGTGCGGCCCGCGCCGGCCCCTGCGGAGTCTGGGGCCGCAGTGTGGTGGGCCCGCCCTGGGCAGGTGCTGGGCTCCCGGCGGGCTGTGCGGGGTGCGCGGGGGTTGGGGGGCGGGCGGGGGGCCCGGGCGGGGCGGCGCCCGGACTTAGCACCAGTCGTCCTCGCTCTCGCTGTAGGGGTCGTGCGGGCCTTTGCGGGCGCCGGGTCCCCGCGGCCTGGGCAGCGCGTGGGCCGGGTAGTAGCCGTTGGGGAGCCTGCGGCCGTGGCGGGCGGGCGAGGCGCAGGCCGGGCCCGCAGCAGCCCGGGGAGTCCTGGGCGAGCGGGCCGCGGGGGCCGCGTGTCGCGCGGGGGGCTCGTCGCCCGGGCCGTCGGGCTCGTCGTAGTCGGAGCCGCGGAAGTAGCCGCGGGCCCGGGGTGCGGGCGGCGGCCCCGCGTGGCGGCAGGCGCGGGGGGACTCGCTGCGGGCCGCGGGCCGCCGCTCCCCCGGCTCCGGCCACCGCCGCGGAGCCCCGTGCGTCCCCCGGCCCGGCCGCGACCCCGGGGGCGGCGGGGGCCCCGCGGCGGGCGGCCTGCGGACGACCGGGGAGTAGGACACGCGCGGCCGCGGGGTGCAGGGGGTCTGGGGGAGCTGGCGGCGTCCGCGCCGCGGGGTGCTGGTGCCGGACGTTGAGGGGGCGGGGCTTCCACTGACTGAACTACTGCCCTACACGAAAATTGAAACAAAGGAATCAAACCAAAACGCACGCACGCCGACCGGGAGGCGGGAGCACACACGGGGACGACGGGGCGGGCGGGCACGGGACGTGGGGGAGGGAGGAAAGCGACGGCCACCGGGAGCGGGGGGCGGGGGGACGACACCACGGGACATCGGGATGGAGGAGAACAGCGACAGTGCGGGCGAGGGAAGGGGGGAGGGAGGGAGAGGGGAGGGACCACAGGACATTGGGATGGAGCAGGAGAAAAGCGACGGCACAGGGGAGGGGAGGGGAGAGAGAAGGAGGGGGAGGGGAAGAAGGGGGAGGGAGGGAGAGGGAGGGGACCACAGGACATTGGGATGGAGTAGGAGAAAAGCGACAGCGCAGGGGAGGGGAGGGGAGGGAGGAGAGGGAGGGGAAGAAGGGGGAGGGGAGGGAGAGGAAGGGGACCACAGGACATTGGGATGGAACCAAAGGAGCAAAGTAAGAACCACCGGGAGGGAGAGGAGCAGGAAGAGAAGGAAAGGGGGAGGACGAGGGGGAAGAGGGGAACAAGGGGCACAGGGAGGAGGAGGAGGAAGAGGAGGGGGAGAGGGACACGGGGGAGAGGGAGGAGGGGGTGAGGAGGCCATAGAACATTTGAATGGAAAATAAAAAGGAGCAGCCACAGCCACAGGGAGGAGAGGGAGAAGGAGGAGGAGGGGAGGAGAGCGATGAGGAGGATCGGGAAGAGTTAGACAAGGAGGGAGGGAAGGGAGTCAAAAACCAACACAACAAAGTGAAAAGAGAAATGAGAGATGGAGTTTTGTAAGTCTCGGGGTTAAAATAGCAGAAGTTTCAAAAAATTACTCACAGCGTCCAGAGGACAGAAATCATAATGGAACAGAAAGGGAAGCCGGGTTAAAGGCAAGCGAGGGGCGGGCGGGAGCCGCAGGGCCGCGCTGGCCCTCAACTCGAGGGATCCGAGGCCGGGGAGAAGCAGCTGCGGAGCGGGGGTGGGGGGTGGGGGGGCGGGGCAGCTGGGTCGCCGAGGGTGCGGCCTCCACCCCCGCCCGGGCCCCCCTGGCGTGGGGAGGTTGGTGGTGGGCAGGATCGCAAGTCGCCGCCCGCCCGGATTGGGGACCCTGCCCACGCCACCCCGCGCAGCCCGAGGTCCCCGCGCGCCACACCCACCTGCCGGTGTGCCATCTGCTCCCGGCCCTCGCTGGGAGAGCGGGACCAGCGCTGGTCGCGGGCCCGGGCCCGGCCGTGGTCTGGCCGCTCCTGGGGGTAGCGCTCCTTGTCGGGGGGCGGGGGGTGGTGATGGTGGTGGTGATGGTGTGGCCTATGCTTCCGGTCCTTGGGCCTGCCCCGTTCCTGGTCCCGCTCTTTCGATGGTAGGTCTCCAGATTGGGTGGTCATGCTCAGGTCTGTCCCCAAGCCTGGACCGGAAAGACAGATGTCTGTACGGGAGGAGGAAGAGGCAGGGCGGGGTATGTACACCCGAGGCCACCGATGGGGTCTGGGGTTCCCTGTAGGGAGAGGCAGGACTTGGGGACAGAGCCTGGTAGCATGCATTTGGCTGGAAGGAGTCCAGGTCTCCATATGCAGCCCAGGCTGGCCTTGAACTTGAGAACTTGAACTCAGCCTCCTGATAGCTGTGATGACAGGTGTGCACCACCACATCCACCCCTCTGTGCAGCCTCCTGCCTGTGGGTCCCTCGGGCGCCCACCTGTGTCCACATCGGTGTAGCGGCCCAGGGAGCGCTCAGAGGCTCGGTGGCCTCGGTCCCTGCGGCGCTGGTGGTACCGCTGGTTCTCCTCAGGTGGAACCCGCTCCAGGGAGTAATCATCCAGGCGCCGGGCCTTGGGGCCCAGCACAGAGGCAGAACGCTTCATGGGGCTGGTGTCCGAGATGGTCTGGCAGGGAGAGGGAAAGCCAGCGTGGAGTCAGCAGCCAGCACTGTAGTCTCCCCGCTGCTTCCCACCCCATCCAGGCAGCCTGGCCAGTGCGCAGCCCTGAGTGATCTAACCCAGGGTGCGACCATCCAGGGACTGTGCCCAGGGGTACAGCGGGGCTCTGAATGCAGCCTGGCTTGCCTACTCGAAGGGTGGAGTCCTGGGGTCTCTTGTCCCCCACAGACGGGGCTCCTCCAGGTCCATGTTGGGTTCTCACTGGAAGGCCCTGGCTAATCCAAACACCCCCTGCCATGTCTCAAGGTCCCCAGTTGGGATCAGGCAGGTCAGCTGAGGGAGACACACACCCCACTTGTAGGACTGGGAGCCCTCAGCTGAGGCTATCGCCCCTGCCTGCCCTCCAGGGAGGGGGAGACACCAAATCCCAGCACCCGGATGGGCTCCCCCCAGCCAACCAGATAACCAGATTGGCCTCTCCTGTGGTGGCCCCAGACTCTGGCCGCAGCTGTCCTAGCACTGGTGGGCCCAGGCATCCATACTTGGCCCCCACACCCTCTGCCAGGGATGGCTTATGGTTCTCTGTGGCCAGTGGAAAAAAGGAGATGGGGGACACCCTTCCCCCAACCAAAGGGACACAAGGCTTTGGGGCCAGGGGTCAGTGGTGGAGTTGGAACAGGTGCAGGGGGGACCAGGTGGGCAGCCTCTTGGAGAGATGGCGCCTCCTGGCTTGGGGGCTTGGAGGAGGAAGGAGGGGGGTGGGGGTGACCCCCCTGTACACAGAGGACACGACACACGAGGAGGGGGGCTCCATGGGGGAGAGGGTGTGGTCTGCAAAGAAAGGGTGGGGTTGAGGACGCAAGGTGACAGGAGCTGCTGGGGGGGGTGGGGAGGAAGAGGCGCGGTACATACATGGAGGGCACTCCCACGTGGCCGGCCCCTTCTCCTCTGTCCCAGCCCCAGAAGGTGCACACAGAAAAACAGAAAGAAGGAAATAAATATAAAAGGCGGGGACGGGCTGTGGGAGGTGGTGGGTGGTACATAGAGGAGGGGTAGAAAGAGAGAGGTTAGAGTTTCCAGTGGTGGGTGACGGGGTATCCCCGGGACCTAGTTGGCTGTCCCCCAGTGGGTACAGAGGAAACAGACAGGAGACACATGGACAGATGGCAGAGGCACGAGACTGACAGATGGGACGGAGAGGCCCCCGGCCCCTGGCCCCTGCCTCATGCGATGCACCCTGGCTTTCCTATGGGCGTCAGCAGTGCTGGTCCCAACCCTGTCCTGGGACCAGCAGGTCAATCCTGACAGAAAGGCCAGTTAGCCACATGCACCAGGGTGTCTCCCATCCCAAGATCGCAGCAGCCAGAGGCCAGGCCCTTAGGCCACCTTGGTGCAGCCAGGCATAGCACAGTGCGCCCCGTGCAGACGCCACGCACAGCACACGGGAAGCTGTCACAGCCAGACATGCCCAAACCCTGCCTAGGCCAGGCCCACCACGCCCCTCTCACAGCATTTTGGGTGGTAGGCTGCCTCCACCTCTTAAGCCAGGGGCAGCCAGTCATGCTCTGGCTTCTGGCCCTCTATCCCCATGGGATGGGGCAGTGGGATTGTCCCTCCTGCCTCCCTTACAGGGCCCCAGCAGCTGGGTAAAGCAGCCACACACAAACACACATCAGGCACACACCAACCCCACTGCCTCCCACAGACACCAGACAGGAACTATGATCCCCAGACCCACCCCAGACTCTTCCCTCAGGTCCTAGGACATGCTGAGTTCTGACGTGCAGGCATATGTGCCCACCGACAGGCTTGCATGTGCAAGTGCCTATGCATGTGCGTGCGGGCTCTGGTGTACATGTGTGTTGTATGCGTGTGTGAACTGCATATGTAACACGGAGATCTTTCTTCTTTTTTAAATTGTCTGTGGTTTGAGACAGGGACTCACTATGCAGCCCAGGCTATCTTTGAACTTTCAATCTTCCTGCCTGGGATTACAGTGTGCACCACCACGCCAGGCTGAGGTGGGGATTCTTGGCTGCAACTCTCACCTGGGCCTGACAGAGCTCCTTCCCAGCTTCTCCATCCCCCAGAGAGACCCTAAATAGGGCAGAGGGAAGCCACAAGGCAGCGACCACCATCCTCTACCCTAGGGGTAACCCCTTTTCCCTCTCTGGCCTCTGTTGGGGAGAGACTGGGAAGTCCAGTTCCTCCAGGTGTGAGTGTGTAGGCAGGAGGGGGCAGGGTATGCACGCAGCTGCAGGTGGTTCCACCCAGGCCTGCCCGGTGTGGGGGGCTCCCTGATTCCAGGGGTCCTGCCCTGCCCATGTGCGCGGGGGCACGGCCTGGCAGCGTGAAGAAAGCCCTCACCTGGTTCTCCGCCGGGAGGCGGGGCATGGAGGCGGCCCGGGCCTGGCCTTCCATGGGGAGGTAGTGCTCGCTGTCCGAGTAGCCATCGGTGCCCATCTCACGCATCTCCACGGACTGCGGGGCACAAGGCGGGGCTGGGTGAGCCCCCGGGCAGCTCGGGGTCCACGAGCTGCGGGGCTGGGGGTGGGGCGGGAGCCTCCGGGGAGGGGGCGAGGTGCGGGGTGACACGGGCACCTGCGAGTTGGGCTGGCTGCTTGGCATGTCGGTGGGGGGCCCTCGCTCTGGGCTCCACGTGCCTGTCTTCTGGAACATCTCCTGGGCCCGCTGGGTCACCCAGGACGGGCTCTCCCTCATGCCGCCTTCGTGAGCCATCCTGCGTGGGGGACAGAGGATGGCGGTGGGTCCTCAGGGGCAGCTGGAGCCTAGGGACTGGCACCCCGTCACCCGCCATCTCTGGCCAGCTCAACACTCACAGGCCTCCTCCTGGGTCCAGCTGGGTGGACGGGAGGACATTTTGGCCGGGTCCCCCCTCCTGCGTCGGGGATGGGGGCTCCATGCGCTGGAACATGAGCGGCGTCCGGTTCTGGGGGCAGGCACAGGGGGACAGGGGCCAGATGGCGGGAGCGCTCCACCAGCTGTATTCCTAGCCCCCAGAAATCACTTCTGACACCCCCTGATCTGTCTACACCCTTCTTCCCAAATCCATTGAAAACTGGTCCACCGCACCCGGATCTGGCCCCTCCCCTCCCCCCGTGGACCACAGCAGACACTTGGCAGCAGGTTTCCTGCCTGCTGCCCTTGCTCCCCACAGCCTGCTCCCTCACACACAGACACCAGGGGGCGCCCACGAACGCCTGAGCCAGACCTGGTCCGGGGTTCCCACCTCACTTCGGGTAAAAGCCAGAGCCCTCCAAGTCCCCTCCAAGGCTCTGGCCTCCTCCCTCCGTCCAGCCTCCCTCTGCCCAGCCTCCCTCTGCCCAGCCTCCCTCTGTCCCTCCTCCCTCTGCCCAGCCTCACTCTGTCCCTCCTCCCTCTGCCCAGCCTCCCTCTGTCCCGCCTCCCTCTGCCCAGCCTCCCTCTGTCCCTCCTCCCTCTGCCCAGCCTCCCTCTGCCCAGCCTCCTCTGTCCCTCCTCCCTCTGCCCAGCCTCCCTCTGCCCAGCCTCCCTCTGTCCCTCCTCACTCTGTCCAGCCTCCCTCTGTCCAGCCTCCCTCTGTCCCTCCTCACTCTGTCCAGCCTCCCTCTGCTCAGCCTCCCTCTGTCCAGCCTCCCTCTGCCCAGCCTCCCTCTGCCCAGCCTCCCTCTGTCCAGCCTCCCTCTGTCCCTCCTCACTCTGTCCAGCCTCCCTCTGCCCAGCCTCCCTGTCCAGCCTCCCTCTGCCCAGCCTCCCTCTGTCCCTCCTCACTCTGCCCAGCCTCCCTCTGCCCAGCCTCACTCTGCCCAGCCTCCCTCTGCCCAGCCTCCCTCTGTCCCTCCTCACTCTGCCCAGCCTCACTCTGTCCAGCCTCACTCTGCCCAGCCTCACTCTGTCCAGCCTCACTCTGTCCCTCCTCACTCTGCCCAGCCTCCCTCTGCCCAGCCTCACTCTGTCCCTCCTCACTCTGCCCAGCCTCCCTCTGCCCAGCCTCACTCTGTCCCTCCTCCCTCTGCCCAGCCTCACTCTGCCCAGCCTCACTCTGTCCAGCCTCACTCTGTCCCTCCTCACTCTGCCCAGCCTCCCTCTGCCCAGCCTCCCTCTGACCCTCCTCACTCTGCCCAGCCTCACTCTGCCCAGCCTCACTCTGTCCCTCCTCACTCTGCCCAGCCTCACTCTGTCCCTCCTCACTCTGTCCAGCCTCACTCTGTCCCTCCTCACTCTGTCCAGCCTCACTCTGCCCAGCCTCCCTCTGCCCAGCCTCACTCTGCCCAGCCTCACTCTGCCCAGCCTCACTCTGCCCAGCCTCACTGTCCAGCCTCCGGCCTTTGCACCGGCTGTTTCCCTCTGCCTGGCTCCCTCCTTCCCTTCAACTCTACTCCCGCATCCCAGCCTGGGTGTCCCCAAGCTCTGGACAAGGAGGTACCTGCTCCTCGCGCATGGCTTGCAGCTTCTTGGCCTTACTCTGCCTGTAGTACTCCATGATCATCATGGCCGCATAAATCTTCCCCACCGTCAGGTCCGTGGCTGCGGGGCACAGGGCCAGGTCACCGTGCGTCCCCGGCCCACCCACCCTGGTGCTTTCCCCCTGCGTGAGTCCTGGTGGCTCGTGGCCCAGGCTGCACTCTTACACTTGTGAGGAGTGACCAGCAGGTCCAAGGTCTTCTGGGACAGGTTAGGCCAAATGGCCATCATCTCCTTCCGGAGCTCTGCATCCATCTGTTGCTTGTCAGCTCCGCCTGCAAACGTGCAGACAGACAGATCTGACTGCCTGCCTCCAGAAAGCCACACTCCATTGTTCTGGTCCCCACCGGGTGTCCGGTGCCTGGCCCAGAGGCAGCTCTGGACAGTACAGGTGGAGTGATCATGTGTGCTCCAGTTCTCAGAAGGGCTACGGTCCCTGGCTCCCACTCACCAACCGTGTGGCTTAGGTTACTCTGCATTTCTCTGCCTCAGTTTCCTCACCCGTGAAATGGGATGATAGCAATAGCACCTGCGCCACCTGGTTGTTTGGCCATCAAAGTAGTTAATGTGCACGCAGCCTTCGGGAGGTATCGACCGTCCTGTGGTGTGAATGTGGTGTATTCCCTCCCCTCCCCAAAACTCACACTGGAGTCCCTCCCCAGAATGTGTTAAGAGGGTGGACGCCTGTCTACCAAGCACAAGGTCCTGGGTTCAATCCCCAGCATGGCAAACAAACAAGAAGATAAAGTAGAAAGTTCATATGACTATGGGGCTTATAGTTGGGGGCCTTGGGAGGATGATTACGATGAAATTAGGTCACCACAGTCATGTGCGGTGGAGCACACGTGTAATTCCAGAGTGCGGGAGGCTGAGGCGGGAGGATTGCGAGATTGAGAACAGGTTAGATTACATAGGAAGACCCTGTCTCAAATAAATAAAAATTAGGCCATAGGGGTGGAGATGCCATGATTGCATCCTGGTGCCTTTATAAGAAAGAAGAGAGACCAGTTAGATGTGGCTGTCCACACCTTAATCTCAGCTACTCAGGAGGCTGAGGCAGGAAGATCTTGAGTTTGAAGCCAGCCCAGACTGCATAGTGAGACCCTGTCTTAAAAACAAAATAAAGTTGGGCACCCATGGCTCATGCCTGTAATCCTAGCTACGCAGGAGGCAGAGCTCAGGAGGATTGTGGTTTGAGGCCAGCCTGGGCAAATAATTCATGAGACTCTATTTCAAAAATACGCAACACAAAACAGGTTGGCAGAGTGACTCAAAATATTAAGTCATTTTTTACTTACAAATAGATAAAGAAGAAGTCAAAGTATCCCTATTTGCAGACGACATGATCCTATGCCTCCAGACCTAAAAAACTCTACCCCAAAAACTCCTAGACACCATAAACAGCTTCAGTAATGTAGCAGGATACAAAAACTTAAAAAAATCAGTAGCCTTTCTGTACACCACCAACGAACAAATTGAGAAAGAATATATGAAAACAATTCCATTCACAGTAGCCTCAAAGAAATAAAATGCATAGGAATAAACCTAACAAAGGATGTGAATGACCTCTACAAGGAGTGCTAGAAACCCCTGAAGAAGGAGATCAAGGAAGACTACAGAAGATGGAAAGATCTCCTGTGTTCACGGATTAGTAGAATCAACATAGTAAAAATGGCTATACGAACAAAAGCAATCTACATGTTTAATGCAATTCCCACCAAAATCCCACTGACTTTCATCACAGAGACTGAAAAATCTACTCTAAAGTTCATTTGGAAACACAAGAGACCTCGAATAGCCAAGGCAATTCTCAGCAAAAAAAGAACAGTGCTGGAGGTATCACAATACCCGATGTCAAACTATATTACAAAGCAATAGCAATAAAAGCAGCATGGTACTGGCACAAAAACAGACATGAAGACCAGTGGAACAGAATAGAGGACCCGGATATGAATCCACACAACTGTGCCCACCTTATATTTGACAAGGGTGCCAAAAATATACAACAGAGAAAAGACAGCCTCTTCAACAAATGCTGCTGGTAAAGTGGTTATCCGTCTGCAAGAAACTGAAACTAGATCCATGTCTATCACCCTGTACTAGTATCAACTCAAAATGGATCAAGGACCTTAATATCAGACCCCAAACTCTGAAGTTAGTACAGGAAAGAGCAGGGAATACCCTGGAAGCAATAGGTATAGGCAAGGACTTCCTCAATAGAACCCCAGCAGCTCAGCAATGGAGCAATGAATGGACAGATAGGACTTCATGAAATTAAAAACTTCTGCACAACAAATGAAATGGTCTCTAAACTGAAGACACCATCCACAGAGTAGGAGAAAATATTTGCTAGCTATACATCAGACAAAGGACTGATAACCAGAATATACGGGGAACTTAAAAACCTAAACTCTTCCCAAATCAATGACACAATAAAGAAGTGGGCAACTGAACTAAACAGAACTTTCTCAAAAGAAGAAATTCAAATGGCCAAAAAACACATGAAAAAATGCTCACCATCTCTAGCCAAAAGGAAATTCAGATGAAAACCATACTAAGATTTCACCTCACCCCTGTTAGAATAGTCATCATCAAAAACACCACCAACAACAAATGTTGTTTTCCCCACAAATGAGGATGTGGGGAAAAAGGAACCCTCATACACTGCTGGTGGGAATGCAAACTGGTGCAACCACTTTGGAAAACAATTTGGAGGCTTCTTAAAAATCTAAACATAGATCTGCCTTATGATTCAGTGTTGGCAATAATGGCACCGATGGGTTTTGGTTCTTACTGCACCTTTAAGCTTCTGTTTCCCAGGGTCACAGTCCTGCCTCAAGTCTAGCTTGAATCCTCCTTCTGCCCCAACCTCCAATCAGCATGAACCATAAGATCCTAACCAATCAGATCATGCTGAGTCTCACTGAGTGGTATTTAAGCCCCTGCTTCCCCGCCTCGGCTCTCTCCCTCTCCCACCTGGCAATAAAGAATCTCTTGGCCAGATCACTCCTCTCCACTTGGTCACTTTTGGGGCCTACATTTCCAACATTCAGCAATCCCACTCTTGGGGATATACCCAAAGGAATGTGACACAGGTTACTCCAGAGGCACCTGCACACCCATGTTTATTGCAGCGCTATTCACAATAGCCAAGTTATGGAAACAGCCAAGATGCCCCACTACCGACGAATGGATCAAGAAAATGTGGTGTCTGTACACAGTGGAATTTTATGCAGCCATGAAGAAGAACGCAATGTTATCATTCGCAAGTAAATGGATGGAACTGGAGAACATCATTTTAAACAGTCAGCCAGGCAAGAAGACCAAAAATCACATGTTCTCCCTCATATGCAGACTTTAGATCTAAAACAAATGCAGTAATATTATTGGACATGGGTCACACACTAAGGGGAGAATGCGCATAGGAGGAATAGGGAAAGGGAAGGAAACCTAAAACTTGAATGTACTTGATGTGCCCACTGTAGAAGAGCTAATATAGTAATCTTAAACTGGCTGAGGCCACTATGGGAAGGTGACCAGAAGGTAGTGAAGAGGTCAGGTAGAGATGAATCAATTCAGACTGTAATACACGTGTGCACGGAAGCAATGCTAGGAATCTCTCTGTATAGCTATCCTTATCTCAACTAGCAAAAACGCTTTGTCTTTCTTGTGAACTCTTATGTTTTCTCTTCAACAAAATTGGAGAAGAGGTTCTCCAATTTTGTTGGGAGACCGGTACAGCTTCTGCCTGGAAGTGGGGAGTGGGGGAGGAGGGAGGAGTTGCCCCAAACAATGCATACACATGTAAATAAATGTAAAAATGATAAAAGAAAGAAAAAAAGTGGTAAGCACCTGCCTAGCAAGTATGAGACCCAAGTTCAAACCCTATTACTGACAAATAATAAACAAATATCTTTGATTGGGAGACTCATGGCTCGAGGCCAGCCCAGGCAAAAAGTTTGAGAGACTCCATCTCAACCAACAGCTGCTATGGTGGTATACGTATGTCACCCCAAGCTATGTCAGAAACTGAGATTGGGAGGATTGGGGTTCCAAGACAGCCTGGGAGAAAAAAGTTCATGATACCCATCTTAACAGAAAAAAGCTGGGCATGGTGGCACATGTCTGTCATCGCAGTGATGGAGGGAAGTGTGAACAGGAGGGTTGTGGTCCAGGCCGGCCTGGGCAGAAAGTGCAGAGTGCACAAGTGAGACCCTGGGCTTACTTCCCAATGCTGAAAGACCAGTGCCCCATCAGGTCTCTCCCGGCCAGGAGGCCATCACCAGATGTCGCCCCTTGACCTTGGAGCTCCACAACCATGACCCCAGATATGCCTGCTTTCTTTAAAGAGATTAACACAGTGTCCCGTGAGGGGACAAGGCTGGGCACCCCGTAGCATCTGACATTGAGAACATTTCTCCCTCTTCCCCAGTCTCCCTGGCCGTTGTTGTGACCCTGGGCTGACGACCCCAGCCCTGGTGGTCATGAGGACTTTCTGCTTGGCCCTCTTACCAAGCAGATGGGGAGTGGAGGGCATGGGATAAATGCCCACTAATGGGCAGTCAGCAGTGACCCCACTTTGGGGTCAGGTCATTTTATCATCAATGGGGCACTTTTCCAAGTTTCTCCCTGTCACCCAGCTGGTGAAATCTGGAACAGTGGCTGTGTCCTCAGGTCCATCCCTAAGTGATTCTGGTGAGCAGAGCCCCAACCCATGAATGGGAAACAGACAGTGCAGAGGAGTGAACCTTTTGGGCAATGGAGACTGTGAGGCTGTTTGTTGCAGGAGCAGTCCATCCTGACTGATAAACTGGACTGGCCCTCACTTTCCCCTCCTTCTAAAAGCCTCCTGGGAAACAGATGGAAACAGTGATTCTGTTGACCACCTACTGTGGCTAAAGGAGGGGTCCAGGGTCTGACTGGTGCCTTTTTATAAGCAGGGAAAATCTGTTAAAAGCCACCATTTGGAGGACAGATGCAGAGAGATTGGTAATTGGGCACAAAATTACAGTTAGAAAGGAAAAAGCATTCTATCACAGTAGAGTGACTGTGTTTTACAATCATGTATTGTGTATTTCAAATAGGTACAAGAATTGAGATTTTTTTTGTTTTTGGTGGGACTTGGCTTTGAACTCAGGGCTTCCCACTTGCAAAGCAGTTGCTCTACTGCTTCAGCCACACCTCCAGTCCATTTTGCTCTGGTTATTTTGGAGATGGGTCTTGTGAACTCTTTGCCCAGGCTGACCTCGAACCTTCATCCTTACGATCTCAGCCTCCCAAGTAGCTGGGATTACAGGCTTGACGCACCAGCTCCTGGCTCACTAGAAGTTATTTTGATGATCCCAACCCAAAGAAATAATAAATGTTGTAGAGAGTCCTACACTAATTATTCTGATCTGACCAAAATCACACTGTCTCATACATATGTGCAACTATTATGTAAATTAAAAATAAAAATCGGGCTGAGGGTGCAGCTCACAGGTAGAATGCCTGCCTGGCATGGCGGGCCCATGGTGAGTCCCCAGCAGCACATACACACGCGCGTACACATGCACACAAAAAAGTGAATAAAAAAGGTCACGTCTTCTTATAAGTTGTGTTTCTCATTTCTTGGGAAAAGGGGGACTATCCCTGTGATGGACTGACTTGTGTCCCGGTCTCCTGCCACAGTGACTGTGTTTGGAGACAGGGCCTTGAAGGAGGCTCATGGGCCCAGAGTCAATACAGCTGTTGTGCTTAGAAGAAGAAAGAGTATGGGGCTGAGTGTGGTGGTACATGCCTATAATCCTGGCTCACAGGAGGCTGAGGCAGAAGGATTGGGAGTTCCAATCCTTCACTATGTAGCCTGGGCTACATAGTGAGACCCTGTCTCAAAAAAGCAAAACAAAATGAAAAACCCAAAGAACCTGTGAACTCCATTTGCAAGCCAAGAAATCAGGCCTCCAGTGCAAACCCTGCAGGCATTTGACCTTGGACCTTTGGCACCAGAACAGGAAGAAAACAACTAGTTATTGTTGAAGCCGCTCAGCCTGTGCACTTAGCTATGGTCCAAGCAGAGGAACACATGGTGTTAGCAGTCCTCCCATTTAAGATTCCCACATGGCTGGGATGACAGGCATGTATCATGATGCTCAGCAGTTGGTTCGGATGGGGTTTCATGAACTATTTGCCCAGGCTGGCTCTAAACTGTGATCCTCCTGATCTCTGCTTCCTAAGTAGCTGGGAGTACAGGCGTGAGCCACTGGCACCTGGCTACTTTGGGATTTTTCTAAGACAAGGCAAAAGGCTTTTCCATTTTGGGAAGCTGCTCCAACCAATCCCTCACTGCTGTCCACCACCATTAGTGACAGTGCTGATAAAGCCGTGCATGGCTCTCAGCGGAAAGCCAGTGCAGGCTTGATAATCCTGATATGCTAAGTGGGTTTGAAATTGTTCAGGCAGGTGGTGGGCTCCATGCTCTTGGTCTGGGGTGGCAAGCCGGAGGGAAGGGGAAGAGGAGGGGAACAGCCTGAGTCCCTCCAAAGGAAGCTTCAGGAGGAAGCAGCCACAGCAAAAAGAAACCCAATACAGAAGGTCTTTCCTCATTCTTCTAGACCAGACACAGAGGAATGGAGTAGAGGGACAGACAGATAATGAAGGGGGTCTGCCTCCTCTGGGTGTCAGATTTCCAGCTAGGATGGCAATGCCGTTTTTTGAGAATCTGAAGATTGGGAGGATCATGGTTCAAGGTCAGATGGGGCAAATAGTTCCTGAGACCCCGCCTCCAAAATAACCAGGGCAAAATGGACTGGAGATGTGGCTCAAGTGGTAGAGCAGCTGCTTTGCAAGGGTGAAGTTCCAAGTTCAAACCCCAGTTCCACCAAAAAAACCAAACAAAAAGAACGACTGAGGTCGACCCATTCCCCTGGTGAGCCCCCGGCCTGCTGCAAAGGAAGCCCAGCCTATTTATAAAGTGAACTAGGGGAGCGAGAACTCAGCAGGCCTGTGTTGCCCAAACCCTGCACAACCCAAGGACAGGACAGCCCTTGACCTGCTCCTTGGAGATGACCCCCATGTTCCTGGAATGTTCTGCTTCATAAGGGGATCTGCTGATCTGGGGCCTTGGGCCATAAAATCATATATACCATATCCCATGGTGGGACTGGGGTTTGAACTCAGGGCTTTGCACTTGCAAAGCAGGTGCTCTACTGCTTGAGCCACGCCTCCAGTTCCTTTTGCTCTGGTTATTTTGGAGATGGGGTTTCAAAAACTATTTGCTTGGGCTGGCCTCAAACCACAATCCTTCTATCTCAGCCTCCTAACTAGCTGATAATACAGCAGTGAGCCACATTCCTGGCTAGAGTTTATTCTAAACGTGATGTTTGGAGGCTGTGGGCCATGTCAGATCACTTTGACCTCTACAGGGGTTAGAGATAGAGAAAGCAAGGTCAGCCAGATCTTGTTATGTAAATCACCCCCAATAACAAGCATGGCCCACCATGCTTATCCTACAATCCTAGCTACTTGGGAGGTGGAGAGCTGAAGGATCAAGGTTCAATGCCAGCCTGACCAAAAAGTTTGCAAGACCTCATCTCAATCGATAAAAAACCAGGCATGGTGGGGCACACCTGTCATCTCAGCTACCCAAGGAAGCACAAATAGGAGGATCCCAGTTCGGGCTGGCCTAGGCATAAGCAAGCATGAGATCCTATTTCAAAAATAGCCAATGTAAAAATGGCTCAAAAGGCTGAGCGCCCCCTAGCGTGGGGGAGGCCCCGAGGTCAAACCCAGTATTGTTGAACAAAACGAGTGACCCTCGAAGCCCAAGGCTTGGGGGAGCTTGTCTGGTTGGCAGTCCGCCAGGTGTAAACATGTCACTGCTGGGAGAACTGGGCGCTAGCCACGCCACTGCCCTGGAAGGACCAACTGGAGGCTCGCTCCTGTGTCTGCCCTCCGTGACCCACCAGCTATGCTCCTGTGCAGATATGTTTTTCCCAGTGGTGCTGGGAATGGAAGCCAAGGCCTGTGCATGCTCGGTGAGCACTCTACCCAAGAGGCACGCTGTTTTCTACCTTCTGCACAGGTTTCCACCTTTCACTGGAAAAAACTGAAACTGTGAGCATAATAATTTTTGCTTTTTTTTGAGACAGGATCTTCCTATGTGGTCCAGACTGACCTCAAACTTGCAATCCTGCCTCAGCCTCCTGAGTGCTGGGATTACAGGGGTGAACAACCACACCTGGCTAGCTGCTTTCCTCCCCCTCTACTGATGGACAGTGAGTCCCAGGTTTGGTATTTGGGGACTTCTCATTTAAAACTCATCCCCTTGGAGAGCTGGAAGTCTCATCAGTGTCACATATCTGATCACCTCTGTGTCCTTGGCCTCCAACCTGCTGCTCCTCCCCGCCTCTGCCGTCCTAAGACGAAGTAGCCCCATTGTCCTTCTGTAGCCCAGGTCGCCACTCTGGGGTGTCCTTGCCTCCTCTTTTCTTTGCAGCCCCCATCCCATCTGTGAGCCATCCCATGGGCTCAACTCTCAGAAGATTCCAGAGCCTCAGTGCTCCACGCCTCCAGTCTAAACTGCCTCCCTGTCTTCACTCAGCTCATGTGGCCTTGTTCTGTGTGCATTTGTCCTGTGTCCCCCAAAGGCTCATGTGCTGGAAGCTTGGCTCACAGTGCGGTGATGTTAAGAGATGTGGGACCTTTAAGAGGCGGAACCTAGCAGGAGGTCTTTAGGTCACTGGAGTTTGTTCTCAGAAGGGATTAAGGTAGTTCTCTTGGGACCCTAGCTAGTTCTCCAGGCAGGGTTGTAATAAAAAGAGTAGGCCTAGCCTCTCCCTTCACTCCAGCTTCTTGTTGTACCACCACATGACCTCTTCCTTTTTTTTTTTTTGGTGAGACTGGGGTTTGAACTCAGGGCTTCCAACTTGCGAAGCAGGTGTTTTACGGCTTAAGCCACATCTCCAGTCCGTTTTGCTCTTACTTTGGAGATGGGGTGTGGTGAACTATTTTGCCAGGGTTTGCCTTGAACCTTGATCCTCCCGATCTCAGCCTCTCAAGTAGGTGGGATTACAGGCATAAGCCACAGGCACCCAGCTGGTGTTTCCCTCTTGCACACAATCTTGCCATGATGCCTTCCACCAGAGAGGCCTCAGCAGAGCTGGTGCCATGCTGTCTGAACTTTGGACCTCCAAAACTTTGAGTTAGGGGGGCGAGGTGTGTGGCTCAAATGGTAGAGCACTTGCCTCTGTGCCCACAAGTCTCTGAGTTCAAACCCCAGGACAGCCCTAACCAGTCCCAGCTATTTCCTGATAGTAACAGAAGTGGGACTAACAGAGAACTCCACCCTGGCCTCTTCCCAGTCTCTTGTCTCCACCCACAGAACCTGTCTGGATATGAGTTGGGTCAGATCAACTCCTGAACTCAAGAGGCCAAGCAGGCTCAGCAGGACCCCACTCCCTACTCCCCCCTACCCCAGGGCCTCTGCATATGCCAGTCCTGCTGCCTGGGGCACCTTTCCCTGAGTACCTGTGAGACTCTTCATCCTACCTCCTTCAGAACCTTCCTGGGAAGGCCTCCCTCACGGTGAGCGTTAGGCTGTTGTGTCCCCCACGCTCACCGTGGCACTGTAGGTTTGCCAAGCAAGCGCACGGGTGTGAAGGAGGAAAAGGACAGGGCCACGGATTCTGGCTTCCAGCTGGCGGGGGACCTGTGGCTGCCCCAGCCCGTTCTTACCCTTGGCAATTTTGATGTCCAGAGCTGTACGGATCAAAGCCATGAGGGTGGAGTTGAAGTGGACGGTGTTGTCGTCTGCCACAGGCAGGTCCATCCGCAGGAGCCTCTACAGAGAACCCCAGGTGAGGGCGGTCACTCTTGGCCCCTGCCCAGGTCCCCTGAGAGCCACACCCACCCCACTCAGGGAGCCCCAGGAAGAACTCTGAAGGCAGTGGCAGTCCCTCTCTGGTCCCAGGATGAATTTCCTGATTTCCTTTGGTGGTAGTACGGAGAGTACTTGGGTCTCCTCTTTGCTTCAGAGCCTCTGCGCCCTCCCCTCCCCTTTTTTTGCGACAGTCTCATGATGCAGGCTGGCCTTGAACTCATTATAGAGCCCAGGCTGGCCTGGACCTCGAGATCCTCCTGCCTCTGCTTCCCAGGTGCTGAGATTACAGGTGTGCATCACCACACCCAGGTTTTTCAATCCCGACTGTTGGACCTGAGACTCGACATTCCCAGAGTTGTCCCCAAACCCCGCCCTGCCCCAGAGTTCTTCTGGATGGCTCTGATTCCTCCTGACCCCAAAAAGAAAGAGCACAAGCCAGATGCCAACAGAACGCACGTGCAGTAGCCAGGCAGAGGGTCCCCGGCTGGCCACAGGCTCCCAGTCCCCCCACTCCCTGCTCGGCCCAGACCAGGGCAGCCTGGGTGGACCCAGGGCATGCCATTCCTGAGAGGCAGCAGGCAGGTGGCCCCTGCAGACATGCAGCAGCGAGGCGGTGACACAGAACAGCAGACAAGGGGCGCATGCAGACGCGGCATCGAGACTCATTCATAGCTCCGTGGGAGGAGTTATCTGGGGGAGGGGCCGGATCTTGGCTCTCTGCGTGACAGAGGGAGAATGGGGGAGGGGCAATCTCTCGGGCCAGGAAAGAAAATATTCCCTGAGTCTCACGCGGGGGCTCTGATCCCATGCTGGGCGGCGTCGGAGGGGACACTGGGCTGGTGTGTGGCAGCCCAGGCTGAGGTGGTATGGAGGTAGGGAGGGATCGAGGGCAAGTCTGGGGTTCACCACGGGATTCAGATACACGTTGGCAAGCTATAGAGTGGGGACACAGGGAAGGAAATGGGAGGGTAGAGGACAGTGAACCCAGAGTAGGATAGGAAATGAGGGCTGGGGCAGGGCAGAGAGGGAGGCAGTAGACAGAAGCACAGGGGCTGGGATGTTGTGCACAGCTGCTCAGGTTGTACACTGCACAAAGGGCTCCCAATCTCGGAATTGGTGGATTTGTGTATTATGACAGTTTTCCCTCGGACAGCAGATGTTTTGTGTTCACCACATTGGTGGATTACGACAATTTTCCAGCAGACACAGGTGTTGTGTGGAAAGAGTGCTGTTTTTCAAAGTTGCACAAAGAGAGAGCTGTGGGCCCTCCGTGGAGACCAGGAGTGAAGGGACTCCCCTCCTTGTATTGTACACATACTCCTCCAAGGAGAAGGACAAGAGGAAAATGTGAGAGAAGGGACGGGCTCGTGGCCTGAGCCACTGGCAGGTGCAGAGAACTGGATGAGGGGGAGGAAAGGGGACCATAGCAGTGAGCAATTAGGGAGGAGTAACATGGACAGAAGGAACACGGAACACAGAAGGCTTGGTGGGGGGGAGGAGGATGGGCTTAGGGGGTAATTTGGGGGGAGGGGAGTCTTTAAAGGCCATCCCTGACCATCTCCAGGATGAGGTGAGGGAACAGAACGTCTGTCACTGGTGCCAAGGAGACTCCAGGACAGAGGTCTAGAGGGGTGGCTTGGCCAGGCCTGGCGGCCGGCCCCTCACACCCTCAGCCAGCATGCACCACCCCCCCAGTCGGCCATGGTGCCTGCCCACCCCAGGCCCCTGCCAAGGCAGCGTGCATGGCCTGCATCAGTGAGCCACCGTCCAGGGGTCCGCTGCGGCCTGCCTGCCCACTCTGGAACAATGGAGAGGCATGTTGGAGGGTCTTAGGGGGACGGGTGGCACAGGATGGGGGTTGGGGAAGCATCTCCAGGGGAAAGGAGGGTGTGGGGGGAGGCTCTGTAGACTTGGTGGGAGGTGCTGGACCCCCCAAGGCCCTAAGTCAGAGATCAGCTTCAGGTGACCATGTTGGGGGCTCAAAGGAGAAGGGATAAGGCCAGGGCCTCACCTTCTCTGGGGGACCAAAGTCCCTGTGCAAGGTGCCTGCTCCGTACATGGTGTTGGGGTTGCTCTAAGTGGGTGGAGACACAATGGTGACTCCCCTGGATGTATGTTGGGGTCCAATTTTGTTCCCTGGTGGTGGTAGGGAACCCAGTGGGTGTCAGGGGACCAGGGTGCTCCCCCCCCCCGCATGTTGCCATAATGGAGTCTCAAAACACGAAGACAGTCATCAGAGAGGACGGACACAGTGTGCTGCCGAGTCACGGATGGTCACGATCCAAGTATTTAAGGAGAAAAGAAGAAAAGAAAAAGAAAAAGAAAAAAAAAAGGAGGAAAACGCTGGAAAAAAGAGACCGGGCTGGGCGTTTCCGGTTGGCAGTAAAAAGTCCCCAGTGCTTGGAGATGTGTGGTCGGTAAAGATAGACTACCTTGTAAGCCACTCTGGCCGGACACTTCTTCCCCAGACCCAGGGGCGGGGACATGTGTCTCAGCATCTGATACATGTCCGGGTAAGGCATCCGGCCCCTGGCAGCACCAAAACACAAAAACGGGGGTGGGGGCGGGAACAGAGAACCAAAGGAAGGGCAGTGGGGGGGCGGGGGAGGTGGGGAAGAAACAGAAGAAGGATAAAAAAAAATACGAGCCAAGAAAATAGAGAAAGATGCAGAGAATGATAGAAATTTCAAATAAATGGAAAAGAGGGGAAAAAAATGGAAGAAAGGTGATTAAAATAAAAGAATTATTTCACTGCTCACAAGCAGGGAGAGAGAGAGAGAGAAACAGTCAGATTCAACTTGAACTCTGAGCTCTGGCTCTCAGGGGTGGCGGAGGGCTGGGGTGGGGCTCCTCGCAAGCCAGGCTTTGGGTTCGTGGTCATTTAGAGTTCTCTGATTTGACTGAGGCTGGTCTCTGAGGGGGCCTCGGAGGGGAAAGGGGGACCAGGGCGGGTTGGGGGGAGGGCTGGGGACTTTGGGAGGCGAGGGGTGGAGAGGGAGAGAGTGGAGGTGATGGTGGGGGGCAATGCCAAGTTACAACTTCCCCTCTTGGGGGATGCATCTGATTTGGGGTGCCGTTGAGACCCCAGGATGGGCTTTAGCTAAGAGCAAGCAGAGATGGCTGAGGGGGAACAGAGAAATATGTTCCATGCTTCCTCAAATCTACAGGGCTGCGTTCTGTTGGCTAGGACACTTTTCTAGTTTAATGCAAGAAAAAGAGATGGCTCTGTTTCTGAGTTTTTATATATATATATATATATATATGAAATATATATATCGAAGAACCCCAAGCCACACTCATTCCATCGATGCTAGCAGGTTTTAGTGGAAATCAAACCTTGCAAGCCACCCTATGAGGGCATTTCTTGCCTAAGCCGAGAGGGGGAGATATTACTCGCAATAAACTGTACATATCCTTATAATGAATGCGACCGCTGCAAGGAGAAGACAGGGTTAGTGGGGTTATGGGGTAAGCTGTGAGCACACGGGCTCCTGAGCACGCCAGGCCGTGAGAAGAGGCTGGCGACCTCTGGGTTTGAAGCAGTGACAGAGACTCGGGACAAGTGAAGGTCCTGGGCCACCCGCAGACCCTGGGGGAGAGGAGAGGGCTCTGCTCGGGGTGTGCTGGGGGTTCTGGCCTGGGGCAATTCCCCCCCACTCCAGGCTCTCTTTGTGTATCTCCCTTCTCTACCATCTACATGGGCTACACTGCGGGCACGTGGACTACAGAAGGGGACAGCATCCCACTGCTGTGACCTAAAATCAAAAGAGCAACAGTTAAAAGAGCCAGATGCTGACCCCCAGAGCCAGGGAGCACCCCAGCCTCTTGGGCTCCCAGAGGACTTGGCTCTTCCCGCCTCCTTAAGAGGCCTCCCCCCCAGGGCTGAGGCAAGGGAAGGGGGTGGCTCAGGCCCACTGGGCCCCGTAATGCTCATGCTCCTCGGGCCCCAAGTCCAGCTTGGACTTGATCCTCTGTTAGTGGTGAGCCCCGACCAGGACGTGGACATGACGCCTCTGCATGGCTGCCTCTGTGTGCTGAACAGGGCTCAATGCATGCTGCCTGCCCCACTTTGAAGTACCCTTGGGTTCCAGGAAGAACAGGATTGATCGCCTGCTGGCCAGCAGGGGGCGTGCCGGTACCACCAAGGGGGCTCTGTCTTTGCATGGCCACTGACACACAGGGGCCCATGAGGGTCTGCATCTGGCCTCCCTGGCCCGTGTGACTACCTGCCCTACTTTATTTTTTAAACGATTTTTGTTTCTTTGGGTGGTGCTGGGGATGGAAGCTAGAGTCTCACACGTGCTAGGGATGTGCTCTAGCACTGAGCCACACCTCCAGCCCATTTTAAAATTTTTCATTTTGAGCCAAGGTCTTATTATGGAGCTCAGGATGGCCTAGGACTCATGATCCTCTGCGGTTAGAGGCCTGTGTTACCACACTCAACTCTGCTCTCTGAGGTTTATCTTTATTTATTTATTTTTTGTGCTATTGGGGTTTGAACTCAGGGCCTACACCTTTAGCCACTCCACCAGCCTTTTTTTTTTTTTTTGATGGAAAAAAACAAACTATTTGCCAGGGCTGGCCTTGAACTGCAATCCTCCTGATCTCTGCCTCCTGAGTAGCTAGGATTACAGGATCAGCCACAAGCTGCTCTGAGTTTTGAACTGGGTTCTGAACTCTGGTCTTGTGGCCAATGTCATCCGCAAAGGTGGCTCAGCCTCTCCAGGAGAACTGAGGCCGCAGGCTTCCTCCTGGCCTGTCCTGACCATCTGGACGCCTCACTGTAAGAGGCAAGAGGATTCGTGGGGGTGTGGGCTCTGTGAACCTTCTCACAGGTCACTCCTTCCCTCTTTTCCTATAAAGTCTGTGCTTGGGCGAGGGTGTCCTCCAAGTGTTCCCACGCTATGTGCTAGACTAACCCACGTAACAAAGGCCCAGCGCCTGGGACCTGACTTAGCTCACGTCCTGGCTCCAGGGAGAGGTGAGAGACATGGCATGGAGGCAGAGGACTCCTTACCAAGCCGCAGGGTCGTACTCTGCCCAGACACGCACATACTCGTCCAGGTGGTGGGGGCCCAGGATGGAGGAGTCTCGGGTGAGGTACTCGAAGTTGTCCATGATAACAGCCACAAACAGGTTTAACATCTGTGGGGACCCAAGAGGGGCAAGAGGGGAGAGAAGGGGAAAAAACATCAGAACTCACCCTGGGGGAGACAGGGAGACGAGATGGGGAAAGGGAGAGAAAGAGATGGTGGTCAGAGGAGACACACAGTTACACAAAGAGGCCCGGAGAGAGGGATCCATTGCAGATGGAGCAGAGAGATACAGAGACAGTATGCGGATGATGGCAAGAGATGGAGTGGGGTGGAGGAGCCATCCCTGGGGGACCCCAAATCCTCCCACAAGGCCGAAGGCAGATATTTCACTGGGTGTCCAGTGGGGGAGATTCTGTCTCTGCCAGGGGACACTGGGCAGCGTATGCTACTGTGACAGGTACCTAAGCTGCTGGTGCTAAAAAGCACTGACCCCCTCCTTGGGAACACAAGTTAACTAAGAGCAGGGGAGAAGCTTGGCATCCCTGTCTCCATTTTGTTTCTGTCTTTGCTGAGCCATTCACCTTGCAGCCACCTTGGATTCCTCAAGGACAGGACTGATGATGGCATCTTTACGAAGAGGGCTTAGGACAGACCACCCAGAAATGAGGGCCATCACTTGGAGCAGGAGGGCTCATCCCTTGGGAACCACATGGTCCCCTCAACTGAGAACAGTGATAACTTCTCCAGGACCTTTGGAGAGCAAGGACTAAGATAATGACCAAGAAGGCCACAGGTGTGACTGGGACTGTTTAACTATGCATAGCTTTGCCCTCTGCTCTAATTCTTTCTCTATTTAAACCTAAAGCTCACGTGTACCCTGAAAATGTCTGAGGATGAACTGACTGCTGTTTCCCCAGGGATGCCCATGTTACATACTAACCCTCCTTTATCTGCCCCTCACCACGGTGCTTTATTTGGGTACAGGGGCAAGTGACCGGGCCTGACACATGGAAGGCAAAGACGCTGCTCAGCACCCATGTGAGCAGAGGCTCAAGAGGCCCCCATGTGAACGTCTGGAAACTCCACTCCAGCCTGGCTCCGTGATCTTGGACAGAGCAAGTCTCTGACACCAGACACATTCTAGAAAAACCCACTCCTGGGTTGGAGACCTGTCTGGGGACTCACCAGGAATGAGCAGAGGAAGATGAAGGAAACGAAATAAAAATAAGCGAACTCGTTGCCGCAGTCTGCGGTGAGGATCCCGGAGTTCTTGTCGCACGGCTTCCCGCTGAGACATGACAGCATGATGTTGTGCCAGGCCTCACCGGTGGCGCTCCTGTGGACAGGGACGGCGTCAGGGCACCGTGTCCTGACCACGCCCCATGGCCTCCCAGGGAGGCGAAGCATGCAGGTTAAGCCTTGCGCTTAGGATGTGGCCATGAACTGAAGTCTAAGGTTAGTCATCTTTTCCTAGCTGAAGAGGGGTTCTCATCCTGGCTGTGCAGGAAGCATTATGCAAACACTGAGGAGCTGGGGGTGCTGGCTCACACCTGGAATCCTAGCTACTCAGGAGGCAGAGATCAGGAAGACCGCGATTCAAATCAGTCTGGGCAAAGAGTTCACCTATTTTGAAAAACCCATCACATAAAAGGGCTGGTGGAGTGGCTCAAGGTGAAGGCCCTGAGTTCAAGCCCCAGTACCTCAAAAAAAAAAAAAAAAGCTGTTATTAATTTCCACTGCCACAGACTTGGATTCAATGGGTCTGGGGACATCCGTATGATTTAAAAGCTATCCTCCCTTCCAGGTGGCTGTTTTCTCTTAGTACTTTCTCCCTAGGTCACTTCAATCTGGGCATTGTCCTCAACCCTGCCAGCCATACTCCTGCCGCAGGGCCTTTGCACTGGCTGTGCCCTCTGACTGGATGCTTTCCCAAGATATTTATATGGTGTAGCCCCCCCCACCCCAACTATCCCTTTTGATTTTTGAGACAGGCACTTACTGTCTCAAAAGCCAGCTCAGGCTGGCTTCAAGCTCATGATCCTCCTGCCTCAGCTTTTCTAGAGCTGGGATTACATCTGAACACCACCATGCCTGGTTCATGGCTCCCGTCCCTTCCCTATTTCTCTCAAATATCACACCAGAGAGGTGTGACCTTCCTCCTTTCTTTTTGTTGTCAGATGAAAAAAATGTTTATTGTGGCAAAATATACATAATATAAAACTTACCGTTTTAGCCATTTTGAAATGTACTATGCAGTGACACCAAGTATGATTAAGTATGTTCAAATTATTACTTCATTTTTTTTCTGGTGGTACTAGAGTTTAAACTCAGGGCCTCCTGCTTGCTAGACAGGTGCTCGACCACTTGAGCCAGGCCTCTAGCCCTGTTCACACTGTATGTAACCATCACATCGTCTAAATCCAGGACCTTTTCATCTTTCCAGACAGAAACTCTGTCCCCATTCAACACTAACTCCCCATTGCTTTCCCCCGACCCCAGCCACTGGCATCTACCATTCTGCCTCCTGTCTTTATGAATTCTGCCACTCTAGGGCCACCATACAAGTGATGTCATACACTATTTGTCCTTTCTGTCCACTCCCTCTTGATCTTAAATTTTATTCCCTTTGCACCATCAACAATCAGTTTACCAATTGTCTTCCCCAGGGAAAGCACCAAGCCTCCAAAGGGCAGGAAATGTTTTCTTTCTTCCTCTGCGCTATTTCTTGCTGTATCTGTATCTATAGCAACACTAGGCACACAATAGCTGCCATAAACGTCTGCTGACAGATGAAGGAATTCCAACGCGAAGCCAGATTAAGAACCAAAGAATCAACTGGGCACCGGTGGCTCACATCTGTAATCCTAGTTACATGGGAGGCTGAGATTGGAAGGACTGTGGTTTGAGGCCAGCCCAGGCAAACAGTTCGCTGTGAGTGAGACCTTATCTCCAAGCACAGGTGCAAAGTGGACAGGAGGCGTGGCTCAAGGAGTAAAGCACCTGCTTTGCAAGTGCGAAGCCCTGAGTGCAAACTTCAGTCCCACAAGCAAAACAAAACACAACAAAAAACGGTACACCCCCCAAAGAATCAAGCTTCAGAATCTACAGCCTGGGTTTTCCCATCTGTCAGATGGCTTGCCACGAATTCCCACCTCTCAAGGTCGTCAGGAGGAGAGAAGGAGATAAAGATCGTAAAAATGCCCTCTGGGTTTGTATCTCAGGGCCTTTAGCGCCTACTCTGCCGGGATCCTAGTGCCCCACACTCCAGTCCCACACCTCCCCGAAAGTGAAGGATGAGATTAGGGCACTGAAGTCATTTGGACACCGGAACAGGATGTGGACATCCCCTTTCTGTACAGAAGGAAGCTAATGGTGACACGCCCCCAACGGAAAGAGAAGGGAGAAGACACAGCCCACAACCGGAAGAGAAGCACTAAGGCACGCCCTCTTCCCCTAAGGCAAAACGAGGACACGCCCACCACCGGAAGAGGCGGGGCAGCCACGCCCCCTCCCCTCTCACCGGAAGAGAAGCATGAGGGCCTGGAAGAACGTCCGGAAGTTATTGTGCTCGGTGATTTGGAACTCGTCCTCATCACTGTCCTCATCCTCCACGTCGATGCCAATGTTGCCAAACACCTAGGGAATTGGAGGGTGACGACCAGGAGCGGCCATGTTCCCTATAGTGGCTCCAGGCGGAAGCCAGATGAACCTCTGTGGCTGCCTCCCTGGGTACCTTAGGGGTGGAGGACTCACCTGCATCCCGATGATGGCGTAGATGAAGAAAAGCATGGCAATCAGCAGACAGACATACGGCAGCGCCTGGTGGGAAGGAAGGCAGTGAAGAAGCGTTCTGGGGCCCCTTAGCCTTTTCCCCCTGTTCCTCCACTGGGTGGGATGACCACATGCCACACCAGCGTCTTTCCAGGACTGATGGCCGTCTTTGGAGGCTCTGGGACAACGCCTTTGGATAAAGCTTTGCAATCAGACATGAACCCTGAAGACTGGAGTCAGCAAGGCGATACCACGGAGTCACCTCTCGTCCCCCAGAGCCTGGGGTCTGTTCCCGGGCTCACCTTGAAGGACTGCACGAAGGTCCAGAGGAGGATGCGGATGGTGTAACCCTGCCGGAGGAGTTTGATGAGTCGGGCAGCCCGGAAGAGACGGAGGAAGCTCAGGTTGATGAAGTTATTCTGGGGAGATGGAGGAAGAGGGGTGACCATCCGCCCACCCCGAGGGGCTTACAGCTGTCACCATTCAGAGGCCCCTACATGAAGCCAACCAACAGGAAAAAAGCAAGCCAGACCCCAAATAAGGAGGGAGAGGAGAGAAAGCACTATTAATGCACTGGTGCTGAGGAAAAACTAAAATAATAAATAAAAATTAAAATCAAAGGAAAAAAAAAAGAATTTGGGGAGAGAGGGTGGGAGGAAGAAAGGAAGGGGCATCAACTCAAAAGCATAAGCTCTTCCCTGCCAGCCCCACCCGCAAGGAGGGAAGGAAAGAAAAAAAGGGGGCGGGAGAGGAAAAAGAAACAGGGATGGGGAAGAAATAACAAAAGAACAAGGAAAAGAAAATATATCCGAATCATCCAATCAGGAAAAAAATCGAGATGGTTTTTTTGTTTGTCCCAATAACCAAATGCACTGAGACGGTAGGACATAAGCGGTCAAGTTGCGGAACCCATCACAAGTGTACGAAGCACAGACACGGGGGGCGGGCGGGCGGGGCGGGGGCGGGGCGGCCAGCGCGCTCAGGCCTGGTGGACAAGTGCGGTTCCGAGGGCATGTTACGCTCCGGGCCAGAAATGCATCTGTCACGGGACTCACCGGGCACCCTGCCCTGCCCTGCCCTGCCGAGCTGCCCACCCGCTCCTGCCCGCCCTGACCTCACCCCACGGCCAAGAGGAACAGCGGCTGGAGCCAATGGGGAGAAAACGGAAGAGCATCTTTCCTTACCCCCTTGGCGAGCGGGAATGGGGAGGACGGGAGGGAGCTGGAGCTGGGGCTGTTCGGCTGCAGGGTGAGTCCTCACTGCCCGCTGAGTCGGAGAAGATGCATTTGGGGCCCTTTCCCCCCTCTCAGGGATGGCTTCTCAGCTCCTGGGGCTGGGTGGTGTCACGGGACCAGGCCTGCGGGAAGCAGGAAGGACTCAGCTCCCGGGGGCGGGTGAGCTCCGAATCAGCCCGGGCCCACCGAGGGCTGGGTGCTGGGGGTGGGGAGGTAGCGCCGTCCCTGCCCCCAGGACCTCCCTGGGTGGCTCCTGCTTTGGCTCAGAACCCCCCTGACTAAGTCACTGCCTCTGTTTCCTCCCACCCAAGCTAGAAGTGGTGGAGGTTGCCAGCTGCAAATGGTGGGCACGGCTCATGACCCTCCTGGGGCTTCAGGGGACACCAGTGAGGGATGGGAGGCTCCACGTCACAAATGGCCCCAATTTGGCCAATGAAGCAGTTTCTTGGGCCTGAGCAGTGTTCGTTTTGGTGGGGCTGGGGTTTGAACTTAGGCTTCATGCTCAGGTGCTCTATGTCTTCAGCCACACTGCCAGTCCATTTTGTTTTTGTTATTTTGGAGATGGGGTCTCTAGAACTATTTTTCCTAGCTGGTCTCAAACCTTGATCCTCCTGATCTCAGCCTCCCAAGTAGCTAAAATTAAAGGCATGAGCCACCAGCACCTGTTTTTTTTTTTTTTTTAACCCCCTTCCCTGATGTACTGGAGATTGAACCCAGGGCCTGGCACTTGGGCCACATCCCAGACCTTTAAAAAATTATTTTCTTTTTAAGACAGGGTGTTGCTACCTTTGCTCAGGCCGGCCTCGAACTCAAGATCCTTCTGCCTCTGCCTCCCAAACAGCTGAGATTATAGCTGTGTACCACCATACCCAGCCTTTTTTTTTTTAATTTAAAAAGTGATTGTCTGGCAGCCCACATGCCCTTCAGTGTTCTAAGATTTCCTCATTCTAGATATGACACCCCTTTTCCTGGCTTCCTGTGTTTGGCTGGCAAAGGCCTTTGACTGTGAAACCTCTGCCTCTTCCCTGGCCAGTACCAAGCAGGCTGGAGGCAGGAGGCACATGGAGTCTCCTGCTAAGAGCAGACTTACTGTGCTCTGGTGTCAAAGATCTGTAGGTGTCCTGGGGACAGGCCACATGACAAGATTCAGCTTGGCCTAACCCTTGTCACTCAAATGGAACAGGGTGACTGTATACATTGCCTGATAATCACAACATCCTTCTTGGTTTCGAATGTGTCCCAGCTGGGTAATGAATTTTTCTTTTTCTTTTGAAACAGGATCTGGCTATGTAACCCAGGCTGGCCTCAAACTGGCAATCCTCCTGCCTCAGCCTCCCAGGTGCTGGAATTACAGGGGTATGTCACCATGCCTGGCCTCTGGACAGAAAGTGACAGGGGCATCTTGCTTCCCACTGCTGTTGGATCTGTGCCTTGCACTAGCTCTGGCCTGGGAGCTGACTGGCAGGGACTAGAGTTCAAGGAATTTCTGTGGCTAGCAAGAGGCCTCTGGGTTTGCCCATGGTGTCTAGGATGCTCTGTGGGACACACTGGCCTTAGGACTTTGGGATGGGGCAGGGGGCTGGGAGACCCTATCCTGACCACACTGGGTCCAGTGAGTCTTCCCAGTGCCTCACACAGGTTCCCAAACCCAGCTTAGCTAAGAGAGTCAACCTCCGTGCCCAGCTGACCTAACCCCAGCCCTGCCTGGCCACCCAGCTCCACCTGGGGATGGGGCCTCTGGCCCAGGTGTCCCCAGCCCCCTCCCGTGCACCCCAAGTACAAGCCATCCCTTCCATGGGTGGGTCATAACATGTGGACTCGGCCAGGCATGCAGAGGCAGGCAGGCCCTGAAAGCAGCCGGGGCTCGGGGCAGAGTTGGCACCATGCAGAAGCAGCGGGGGAACTGGCAGCTGGCAGGAGACACATGCAGACAGCAACAGCGTGCGCCCTTGTTGGAGCAAGGGAGGTGGGAGACACATGAGGGAGGGAGGGGACGGGAGGGCAAAAGTCCAGTTGGGGCAGGGGTTTTGGTCAGCCCTCATCAAACCCTCCAGCTCTTCCTGGGTGTGCACCAAGTCCTTTGAGCATGACAGAACCTTCAAGGGACTTCCTCTCCCTAGCCTCCATATCTTGTCATCATGGTGTGATGTCCCTCAGGTGCAGAGACATGAGCAGCATCCACCCAATGGGCTCCAGAGAAGTCCTGCCACTTCTAGACCCTGTTTCCCACCAGACCCCCCTTTAAGCTCCAGACACCTAACCCAACTTCTTCCAGGAATCCTAAGGATTCTTCAGCCTTGCCAGGCCAGCACCTGTTCTCTTCTCCACTCCGACCCTTTCCTTGCCCTCCCTTATAACCTCTATCTCCCCTTTTCCAGCCACAGCCAGCACTCCAGGGCACTGGCCCCCCAGGCCTGATGAGCTCAGCCCCAGGTGTTCCAGACCCTCTGCTGAGGTGGTTGGCCCTGCTACCTTGACCTTGTCCACTGTCACCTGCAGCTGGGATTCCTGGGCCCCCTCCAGCCCCTCCCACTTGGCTCTGCAGCCTGGGATCTCTAATCACACACCTCACAGAGCCTCACCTAGTCCTCCTGGTGCGCAGGATGAACCCACCAAAGCCCCCACTTGGGGCCCTGCCTCATTAGCTTCCTAAGTCAGTCTTCTCTGCTGTCTTTGCTCCAACCACGCCCCTCACTTGCAAACCCTGACTCCTGCACACTCTGCCCTGCCACAGGGCCTTTGTACATGTTGCCCTGGGGTCAGCATGCAGTGCCCTTTTCTTTGTAAATGACACTTATTCTTCAGTTTGCAGTGCAGCTACAATTTCAAGTGCAGTCTTGGGCTCACTGAACCAATGTCTGTCTCCTCTACCTCACTGGGACTGCTTCTGCCCACTGCTCCATCGGTGGCACCAAAAACACCATTGGAGCAGCACCAGAAGACTCAGCAGAAGCAGGCAGCAGAAGGGGAGGTGTAAGAGACTTCACCTCGAGGGATGTGTGGAAGGGGTGCAGGCTGGAGGGTTGGATGGACCTAACAGAGAGGGACTTTCTGTGTTGGGGGCTGGGGGCGGGATGAGGTAGAGAAGGAGTGACAAAGAGGACAGGTCATCAGTGTGCAGTGGCCATGGGTAAATGACCGTGCGTGTTGCAGCATTTGTGCACAGCCTCAGCCACCCATCTAAAGGCCACTAGACCCCAGTGTGGGCTTTTGGGGTTTCCCTGCTACAGTCTTTCTTGCAGGACGCCCCGCCCTCAGGCCCCTCCACTGGACTTGGAGATGCAACTCTAGTCGGCCAAAGCCAAAGAGCTCATGGGCTTGTGTGGAGGCGAGGGACGGGAGGAGGAAGAGAGGGAGAGAGACAGTGTGTGTGGGGGGGTGGGGGGGTGGGGGGCAGCTTTCCTGGAGCCTGAGCTTTACGGAACTGAAAAGGAGACAGATGTGAGAGGCAGGTGGGCAGCGGATGTGTGTCTGACAGCTCAGAGTGTGAGCGATGTGTACTGGAGGAGGTGGAGGCTGCATGGGGGTACAGCCCTTTCTCTGCAAAAGACACAAACCCACCAAGACAGGAGTCCCCAGTCCAGAAGTAATAAGAATGAGGGGACAGACGGAGAGGAGGGAGGGGGAGAGAGGGAACTGAAGAGCCTTGGGAGGAGGAGGTGGAGGGGTTAGGCAGGGTGAGAAGGATGGACAGACAGAAGGGAAGGGTGGGGAGTGTGGCAGGCGGGCGCCCCGTTGGAAAGCTGAGGTGGACCATGCAACGCGTTCACAGTTAATGTAAGGCATTTAGACTTCAGAAAGAAGTAACACCAACCGGATTCTAGATGCAGATGTTGAAGATGGAGGGGGAGCGGGCGGGCGGGATTGGTTGGGGAGGCGATTCAGCGTTTTTTAGGTTGATTTGTAACCAGTGCCAAAAAACCCATGGGTTTCGGTTCCCGGGCGGGGAGTGGGGGTGGTGGTGGGTTGGGAGATAAGTCATTGGTGTATGAACACATAGACCACGTTCATGGATGAACAATGATTTCATAGTGCATTTTGATTGGATGAGTTTTTTTCAGACGGCGTTGTGCCAATATACAGTTTAAACAGAAGGCATGAAAAGAAGACAAGACAAGAAACACAGTCATTATCCGCCGCGCACAGGGCCACCCGCGTCACCCCGGCCACCTGGGCGCTGGGATGGCTGCCACACGCCCTCTGCCCCTTGAGCCCCTGGGACCTGCCCTCCCCAGTATCGTGCTTCCCAGGCCTCGGCTTGGCTGAGCTCTGGCCCCAGACCTGGTGGCCTTACCTGGGAGGCAGACAGGGGCTCTGGGGACCACCTAAAGCAGTCTGGGAATTCACCATACTGGGGGGGGGTGTCACCCAGCTACTACCTCGCCCTCAAAACCGCACCTCCAAGGACAGTCAAGGCAACAACAGCAGTAGCAATAATGATAACCACTTGTGAGCTATTTCCTGGCTGGTTCTATACAAGCATTTCACAGTGATCACTTTTTTTTTGGCAGTACTAGGGTTTGAACTCAGGGCCATGCACTTGCTGGGCAGTCTCTCTGCCCATTAAGCCACACCTCCAGCCACACTGGTCACTTTTTGTTTGGTTTTGCAGTGCTTGGGATGGAGCCCAGGGCCTCTCACCTGCTAGGCAAGGCTCTACTGAGTTGTACCCCGGCCGGTTATTATTATTCCTACTGTTATTAAGATGCCACTGACCCCCACCCCAGCCCTTGCAATTGAACTTCAACACTTTGCCCTACCCTCCTCACAATCTCCAGGGTCCCCAAGCCTGCACTCATTGGCAAACAGCCAAGAATAGGGTCTGAGACAGGAACATGGGGCCAGAGTTTCCCAGCAAGGGAGATCCAGAGAACAAGTCCTCCCTGTGCTGGGGATCCTCCAGGTGTGGGGCATGGGGAGGGTGGATGTCTGCTGCAGGGACCCTCTGATGGCCCCTGGGAGTACCATCCTGGCCCAACACAGGGACAGTGCAAGTAGAATGTACTTGCGACTTCCCCTGGCCCTGGAGCAGGTTCAGCTTTGTTGCCTTTAAATGTCTCAAATTCTCTTCATGCACTCATCGCCATTACTCATGAGCCTCATTTATTCATAAGTCCACAGCCATAAGGCAGGGACGCCCACCCTGCAGTGGATTTTGGATCCCGTTTCCCCTGGTACCCTCCTAAGGGGCTGCCCTTGCCCCGGGGACTCCCACTTCTCTTTCTAGCCCAGCTCTGGGCTGAGCCAGCTGTGGCCGTCAGGACCTTTTGCTTCTGGAACCCCCTCACTGGGCCGCCCAGCTGTCCAGCCCCGACACACCCAGAGAGAAGCCAGCAGGAGACTTACCCCAAACTCAGTCACAAGGATGTCTGTAATGCTGCCCAGAACGGTCACAAAGTCGAAGATGTTCCAGGCATCGCGGAAATAATTCTAGAATAGGGACGCACAAGACAGAGATGCCAACAGAGGGCTCTGTGCCCTGGCCACCCAGGCACATCTGGGACATGACTGGTATGGTCAGAAGCCCGCATACTGGTGGCCATCCAAATGCACAGACTGCTACTGAGGGCTGCTCCGTGTCATGTGCATCCCCTCCCTAGGACTCCCACGTGGGCTTCTAGCACTTCCCCCTCTCCCTTGGGGAAGTGGCTGCTCTTTGCCCAGCATTTAAGTCCCTAGATGCCGTATTTAAAAAAAAATTTTGGTGGTCCTGGAGTTTGAACTCAGGGCGTTGTGTCCATAAAGTAGGCACTATACCACTTGAGCCACACTGCCAGTCCCCTCTGCTCTGGTTATTTTGGAGATGGGGTCTGACCAACTATTTGCTTGGGCTGGCCCTGAACCTTTATTCTCCTGACCTCAGCCTCCCAAGTAGCTAGGACTACCAGCATGAGCCAGCAGCACTTGGTCCTAGGTGCTATTTAAAGAACTTTGGGTCTCTCACCAAGGTACTTGGGACAAAGATCATTAGGGGGCTCAGACATCAACACCACGCACTTGCCCCAGGCCAGCAGCACAGAGGTGCAGTCAGGATTTAAACCCAGGCCTGGGTGAGCCAACATCATTGTGTTTACAGTACTCACTACAACAGCAGACTTTTGGGTCCAAATCCCAGTTCTAGTACCAAAGCTGTGTGGCTATGGGTAAGTGGCTTAACCTCTCTGTGTCCCCCCTTCCCTATCTGGAGAAGGAGGACAATAACAGAAGTGCAGAGTGAGCACTGAAACAGGGGCCTCAAGGCTGCTGTGAGTAGAAGTAGTGCAGTTACTTCCTGCTCAGCAAGGGACTCTGAAGAATTCTCTCAGCCCGAGTGACCAGCAGCATTCCAGACAGCGATTCTCTGTAAGCCTGGGCCCCTAAATAACCTGGAGATCAAAAGCCCCTCTGCAGAGTATAAAGAAAACCTCTGCTGACAGAAGCTACTGAGATGCTTGTTACTGCAGCTTAACATGATGTGACCTGACTGATACATCCCTGGGCTGGGTGCTGGCTATGAGAGACACAGACGTACAGCTGTCTTGTTAAAACACAGAAATACCCAATACTGTTTGGTAAACAGCTCCAATCCAAGTTCCCAGGAGTCCCCTGCTCTCCTTAACCCAGAACTGAAATGGTGATACTCCAGGCTCTGGGGGGGGACCTTTGCTCTAACTAGGTCCATTCCAAGCAGGAATGGGTTCAGTGGGTCCCATGGCCAACACAGGCCTCAGAGTCCCCACGAAAGCAGGCGAAGACTCAGGCCCATCTGTACCTCACAGAGGTCCAGAGCTGGACCTTGCCTGGGCACAGGGTCCTGGAAGGCGGGGAAAGGACAGCAGTCAGACAGTGAATGTGAGTCCCTGGGCATGGAGCCTGGTACACAGTAGGTGCTCAGCACATGGAGGCTGTCTTACAATTGCCCAAATGGAATTCAGCTCCATTGGCACTTCCGGTCTCTTGGCAGGTGTCCACCGCGCCACTCGTGTCCCTCAAACCTTAGTATACACCGTTGTGACTCTGTGCTGGGAGTGGCCTTTGACTGACAGGGAGCCGGGGACGACTACTCTGCCCACCCTGGAATGGGACTCCAACAAGATGCGTGCTCTCTGCTGCCACCTGAAGGTCCCCACCGGAGCCACTCCTGGAGGTAACGGGCTTCTTGAGCACCCTTTGCTGGCTAGTTCCGCCCTTGTCCCTCAGCCCCTCCTGTCCTTGCTGGGCTCTGGGCTGTGCTTCCGAGGAGCTCAGACAATGTCCTAGGTGTCTACAGTTCTCATGCCCCAGAGCTGAAAGGTTCCCTTCTGTCTCTAGCCTGAGCAGCACAGGAAGACTGTGGGCATTCTCTTAGGTGGAAAGGAAAGCTCAGTGTAGACTCCTGCAGGATAGGCAGGGGAAGAAGAATCACATTGCTAGTGGAGGACCAACTTGGGATGTCCCAATGCTCTCAGCCCTGGGAAGCCGGGCTCCCATTTTGTGGATGTGCCCTTGAAAGCAAGGAGACTAAATGACTCGGTAGAGGCTGCACAGCTAGAAAGGGGCTGAGGCAGGATTTGAACCCAGGTATGGGTGCACAGGGAGCCGAGTTCTTCCTTGCACGTGTTCCGTGATTCATCCTGAGTTACACTGCCCATAGGTGGCGTCCCCAAGACCAGAAGGCTGAGTTGGTGCTCCCATGCCAATGGCAGAATGTCTTTTTCAACTGACAGGTGCTAAGCACAGTATCAACAGGTCTGTCTGGTTGTACCTTAAAGAGGCCCCTAGGGATACTCGTGAAAGTACAAATGTGGACCAGGCATGGTGGCTCAACCCTGTAATCCTAGCACTTGGGAGGCTGAGGCAGGAAGACTGTGAGTTGTAGGCCAGCCTGGGCTGCCTAGCAAGACTTTGTCTCAAACACAAACATAAATTTGGGGGGTGCCACTCCACAGCAGGCTTCCTTTGGAACTCTTCAGAAGCAGAGCCCGAGACAAGGATCAAGTGCAAGGAACTTATCCGGGAGGTGGTCCCAAGGACAGTTTTGCTGACACATGGGTTATAGTATTTGGTGCTTAGAAGGGCTCAGCTGAAACAGGCCCTCCTGCTCACGGGCACCGCTGGGTGCCAAGGTGAGGACCCAATCTCCTGAGAGCCAGGTGACTACAGGTCATTCCCTTCAGGGACATGGACTAGACCAGCCATCAAGAGAACAGATATGACTCAAGTTCAGCTTGGCCACTCCCTGAGGATGTCCAAGAGGTGACTAAACACAGTCATCCATTCTATAACTTGGATCTGAAAGGTGCCCCAATGTCACATTAAAAGCCTTGCCCCAGTCTGTGACTAAGGTGGTGGAACCTTAAGAGGTGGGGCCTCACGGGAGGAAGTTAGGTCACTGGGGGTGTGACCCTGAAGGGAATATTGTGAACCCAGCTTCTTCCTCTGAGATGAGGGGAGCAGCTTCCTTCAGCACCTGCTCCCACCATGATGCTCTGCCTCACCACAGGCTCCAAGCAACAGGGCCAAGTGACCACAGACTGAAACCTCTGGACCATGAACCAAAATAAACTTTTCCTCCTAAAAAGTTAATTATCTCAGGTATTCTGACGAACTAACAGCTAACACATTTGCCGTCAAGATAATGCTCAAGCTCAGCGGTGAAAAATGAAGATGAAATTCTTTCCCACCTAATGTCACATCCCCCACCCACCCCATCCCTGGAGCTCCTGGGGGTTGAAGGGCATCAGGTTGAGACTAATGCACTAACGGAGATAAAAATCAAGCTAGTCTATCATGAAATGCATTTAAAAGGAAAAGAAACAGAACTGACGAGGAAAGACCGTATCAGAATACACAGTGTACAGTAAGGCTGGGGACTGATTATACCTAACAACTCATTTGTTGGGTACAAAATTTCATTTTGGATACCACTATTTCATTTCATGTCTGCAATGTTGGGCTCAATTATAAAATGTATGTCTTCCTGTGAACTGTGGTTAAAAGGTTTTTTTGTTTGTTTTTGTTTTGGCACAGGGTCTCACGGCACAGCCCAGGCTGTCTTGGAGCTCACGATCCTCGGGCCTCAGCCTCCTGAGTGCTGGGATTGCAGGTGTGCACCACCATGCCAGCCACTACAGTTTGAGTATCATGGACTCAGAGCCTCTGATAAGGGCCTCTTAGTGCCCTTACCTCTAGGGCAGAGGATCAGTGTTCTGATCTACCTGCACCTGGCATACAATGACAGCCTGGTCTCATAGGCATTACTTGGCATGCGCAGGTGCCTAAGTAGGGCTTGTGGCCATGGGCAGGATGCTCAGGCCATCACTGGGGAAAGGGGTCTTGGGGCCCAGTGCGGAGACCTTACCCAGCTCCTGTGCCCCATAGGCTTCCTCCCAGCCCACAACAGTAGCCCCACGATATACTTACCAGAATCCCAAAAGCCATGACTTTGAGCACACACTCCAGAGAGAAGAGGGAGGTGAAGACGATGTTGAACACCCTCAGAGCATTCTCATAGGCCACAGAGGCGCCATAGAACTAGAGAAGGAAGGGGAGGGCAGTGGCAGTAAGTGATTTGGTGGGGACTGGGAAGACAGTTTCATGGCTATCTTCCCCGTGCAGGACTCGGGCACGTGGCTGACCTGGGCCTCAGACAAGGATGGTGCAACATTGTTTTCAGAGGAAAAGCTTTGAAAATCCCAGGTCTTCATGGGCTTGGGGATATCTTATTTTGTTTGTTTTGAGAGAGAGTCTTGCTATGTAGCCCAGACTGGCCTTGAACTCATGATTCTTCTGCCTCTGTTTCCTGAGTGCTGGGATTACAGATGTGCACCACCACGCCTGCCTTACACCTTTCTTTTTTAAGTTAATGTATAATGTACAAGAAGCACACCTGCTCTAATTCTTACTGACCTGTCTCATGAGACCACTCCTTAGGTCAAGGTTTAATACATTTCCAGTATCCAAGAAACTCCGTGCATCACTTCCCAGTCAATAACCAACCCCAAAGGTCACTGCTGTGCTCATTCTGTAGGAAATATTCTGGCAATATTATTATTTGCGCCTCATAAAGCAGGCGCTCTGCTCTACTACTTGAGCCACACCTCCATTTCAATAAGTGATTTAATCAGAGCTGAATCAACCTACAGACCTAGCTGCCAGTTCTCTGATTTGGAGATGGTCCAGTGTGTCCTTCAAAGGCCCACTTCAGGGTGGTAGGATTGAGAGGTGGGGCCTTTAAGAGCTGGAGCCTGGTTGTAGGACGCTAGGTTATTGGGGGTGAGTCCTTAGAAGGGACGGTAAACCTTCCTCAGTGCTCCTCTCCATGCCATTTGTTACGGGCCCTGCTGGAGCCTGCACCAGCCTGTCAGTCTCCCAATGCGTAAACTTAGGAAACCTCTTTTCTTTACAAGTGAGTCTGTTTCAGGTATTGCATTATAGTAACAGAAAAATAGGCTAAAACAGAGATTACAGGGAATATGACAGCTGGAGAAGGCAATAATAATGTCCCACAACAAGCACAGCACAGAAGTGACATAGTCTGAGCTCAGTTCACCTGGTTTTCCCAAAAAGTCGGTGGCATCGAGAAATAAAAGGTGTGGGTAGGGCAGAGACTTAAATAAAAGCTCGAGGCTCCATGCAGCTATTCAGATCTTGGCTCAAAGGACAACTAGGTAGAAAAGACATTTTAGGGACAATCAGGAACATGTGAATGTGGATATTAGAGAATTATCACTAGTGAAACCTAAGAACCTTGCTTGGTCAAACTTGAGGACATGCTGGGATTTTGGTGTGCACTACTGAGTCTGGCTGAAGAGCTGCTGACTTTGTGGAGCAATTCTGAAATGCCACGAAGGTGCTGAGATCATATGAGCTTTCTCATTCAGTCCCCCCGACTCCCCATTTTAATGACAGGGAAAGTGAGACCACAGTGAGTCACTAGGCACTTGGTAAGGTGGGACAGTGAGTTAAATGGCAGTGCTGAATTTGAATCCAAGACTCCAAACCTCACAGCTCAAAGGTTCTGAGGTTTCACCATGGTGAGGCTCCATGGCCCAGAGGCTCCGAAAGTCCTCCTGTCCCCGTCCCTCATTTCATCCATCTATCCATCAGACACTCATAGAGGGCTTCTTGTCCCCTCTGAACCAGGACCTTGCTGAACTTATGGGGTCAGGTCTCTGGCTGCCTGGAGCACAAAGGCTGGCGGGGATGCCTATGGTGCAACCAACAGAGATGTCACTGCCCGTGAGCTGTTCAGCAGGATGCCGCAGAGCCTGGGGAGGTCAGGGAGGAAGCCTTGTGCAGGGGCAGCTGGTCAGGCACAGTGGTGGGAAGAGCGTCGAGGCAGGAGGGGCCACAGGAGTGGAGGGAGGGTCTTGCACTCACCTTCATCATGAGCACAATGGTGTTGAGGGCGATCATGGCCATGATGGTGTACTCGAAGGGTGGGGACACCACGAACTGCCACATGCGGTACTGGAAGCTCTGCTTGTTCTGTGGCATGTGCCGGGTCAGTGGCTTGGCACTGATGGCGAAGTCGATGCAGGCCCTCTGTGGGAGGGAGGCCAGCGCGTGAGCCACACACAGAGGACCCCTCCCCCACCCTCCAACCCCCAGCCCATTGATGCTACAGCCCTGGCATGGGCGAGGACGAAGTCCTCAGGAAGACAGCTTTCCTCTCCCAGGAGCTACAGCTCCTTGAGAAGTCGCCATCTGCGAGCCTGAGCAGACATCTCCTTTGTCACCTCACGGAATCCTCTTAGCAAACGTTTATCTTGCACCCCACTTTGCAGAAGAGGGGAACAGAGGCTCGGAGAGGTTGAGCCACTGGCTTGAGATGGCACAGCCCTGAGTGCTAGATCAGCTGGGGCCGGTGGTTCACGCCTGTAATCCCAGCTACTTGGGAGGCAGAGATCATGAGGATCAAGGTTCAAAGCCAACTCAGGCAAATAGTTCAGGAGACCCTGTCTTGAAAATACCCATCATAAAAACGGGCTGGTGGAGTGGCTGAAGGTGAATGCCCTGAGTTCAAACCCCACTATCACAAAAAAAAAAAAAAAGAAAAAAAAAAAAGAGTGCCAGATCGGAATTTAAACTAAAGTCTGACTCTGAATTCTGACTATTTTATCTTATTGAGTGTCTTGCTTTCCTTTCCTTTCCTTTTGTTTTTTTTGGCAGTACTGGGGTTTGAACTCAGGGTCTTGCAGTAGCTCTACCACTTAAGCCACGGCTTCAGCCCATTTTGCTTTAGTTATTTTTCAGGTAGGGTCTCCTGTTCTTGCCTGGAGCTGGTCTTGGACTACGATCCTCTCGCCTCCTTCCTGCTCTTTTTCTTTTGGGTGGGTGGAGAGGAGGAGAGGGAGGGACAGAGACGCGAAGGGAGAGGAATCATCCTTGTGCCTCAGGGTCAATGGCTCCGAGGAAGGATGTGACTTAGACTTTGCACCCAGGTCTGACAATTCTAGAAGGGCAAAGGGCCACATCTGGACTATCTGGTGGGTTGGATTTTTTCTTTTTTTTTTTGGTGGTACTGGGGTTTGAACTCAGGGCCTCATGCTTGCTAGGCAGGCGCTCTACCACTTGAGCCACTCCACCAGCCTGGATTTTTTATTTTTTTGAGACAGGATTGGATCTTACTATGTAGCCAGGATGGCTTTGCCCTCACCATCCTCCTGTCTCAGCCTCCCAAGTGCAAGAAGTATAAACATGTACCACCATGCCTGGCTAGGTGGACTGAGTTTTCCATTCCTAAATATTCGTTTCCTGTCCCTTAGGGAGATTACACTTCCTTGCCCCAGTGACATCACACAGGGATGTGTGACTTGCTGTGCTAATGAAAATGTGATCAGAATTGATGTGTGCCACCTAGGGACAAGCCTCAAAGCTAGACCTCTGTTCATCATGCTGTCACTATACCATAAAACATCTCAGACTAAGGTTTTTACATTGGCCTGGAACCAGGAATAAAGATCTCATGGAGAAGAGGTGACCCTCCCCTTAAATTTCAAAAGAGTACTAAGTGAGTAAGTTTAAGTGAGTGAAGAAAGTGAAACCAGTCATTTTGTGACAATGTGGGGCTGTTTGTTACTGCAGCACAACATGGTCTGAACTGACTGCTACACACACCAGATGGCTGATGTTTTCTTCTCTGGACACCACAGAGAGGGTGTTCTGCAAACTGTACTCTGCTGTTCTGTTCCCAGATTGCCCCAGAAGTCAGTTCCTGGTTGTGCGTGTGTGTGAACGTGGGGTGCATGGTACCTCGTTTTTCTCCAGGCTATACTCCTCCATCATCTTGTCCCCCTGTTCCTGGAAGGTGATGATAATCAAAGCCACAAAGATGTTGACGAAGAAAAAGGGGAAGACCACGAAGTAGACGACATAGAAGATGGACATTTCCATGCGGTAGCCAGGGCTTGGGCCCTGGTTCTCAAAGGTGGCATCCACCGAGTGCTTCAGGACCCTGCGAGAGGAGGGCGGGCAGAGGGACAGAACAAGGGAAACAGGAAGAAGAAATACAAAACAAGTGAAAACAGTCAGCTCTACTGCTAAGTACTGGGGTTTGTTAAGTCCAGCGACCTCTCAGGGAGGTGGTGACTGGCTCCATTCTGCACACAAGGAAACTGAAGTTCAGTCACTGAAACTTGTTCCATTCAAGAACTGGCCATGCTGGGATTTGAAACCAAGTTTATGGTGATGGATGGGAGTGAACAGGGACTCATGGGAGGCAGACACTTCTTAGTGTGGGTTTTTTTTTCTTTGGTGGTGGTACTGGGGTTTGAACTCATGACTCATGAACTCAGGGACTCATGCTTGCTTGGCATGCACTCTACCACTTGAGCCACTAAACCTACATCTTAGTGTAGGGTTTTTTTCTTAAAGCAGAGGTGGTAATGGGTGCTAGGAGGTGCAATAGGGATACACCTGGGAGTGTGGATGTGCACAGCAGCTCTGCACATCCTGAGATTACAGGCATTCACCACCATGGCTGGATTTGCTGTTTTTTAATTTTATTATCATTATTTTTTGGTGGTACCCAGGGCTTCATCCATGCTGGGCAAGCTCTGTGCCACTGAGCTCCACCCCAACCCTGAAGCTGCTGTCCTGTCCTGGCGACAATCTCTTGGGCACTTAGCAAGGTTCTGGGGGAGCCGGGAGCCAACCCTCCATTCTCCTGCTTCTCCAGCCCTGACCCCGCCCTGGGGACTCCTCATCATACACTTACTGTGGCCAGCCTTCTCCCGTGGACACTGTGAAGAGGGTGAGAAGCGCCCACAGCACATTGTCATAATGGAACTCGTACTTCTTCCACTCCCGATCCCGGGCCTTGACCTCGTTCTTCTCATACAGGAGGTACTTGCCCCTGTCACAAAGGGTGTGGGCTGTGAGTTGATGGGGCAGCGGCTCAGGCACTGGTCTTTGGCCATGAGACACAGGAGGAGAGAGAAGAGGGATGTGAAACTTATGTGGCCTCCCTCAACTCAGGAAGCAGGCCGTCATGGATCCCCTGCCTCCTGTGGGAGTCTCATGCACATTAAGCTGGGCTCAAACCACCTGGAGGACACGGCCATTGGGAGCGGCGACTCAGAGCACAGCACCCTCTTCCAACCTGAAACCTTCCCATGCTAGGGTGAAAGCCTCAGGCCTGTGGGTGGGGGACAGATAAGGGACAGGGAAAGACACCCAAGGGACATTTCATCTCTGGACTCATCAGGCCGTAAGAAGTGGCCAATGCTCTTTTTGTGGTATGAAACAAGGCTTAGCTGATCCAACCCAAGTGTTGGGGTCACTCTTTTTCGTTTTCTGGAGGCAGTGGGGTTTGAACTCAGGGTCTTGCACTTGCTAGGCAGGTGCTCTGACACTAGAGCCACTCAAGCTCTTTTTACTTGGTTATTCTAGAGATAAGCTCTTGCTTTCTGCTCAGGCCAGCCTGCAGCCTGATCCTATTTCATGCTTCTCACAGTCACTGGGCAGATAGGTGTGTGCCCTCGCTCAGCTTCTGTTGAGATGAGGTCTTGTAAACTACATGCTCAGGCTGGTCTAGAACCTCTATCCTTCCAATCTCAGCCTCCCAAGTAGCTGGGATTCCAGGAATGATGTACTGGTGCCTGGCCTTTGCTTTGTTGAATCAGTGTCTCACTATGTAGCCCAGGCTGGCCTCAGCCTCTCAAGTGCTGGGATTACAGTACGTACCACCATACCCGGCTTATATTCCAAACGTCATAACATATCTGCCCATAAAGGTTTCAAAAGGGGGACCGTGGACATGAATTAACGTCCCCTGTGTGACAAAGGCTCCAGGTGAAATGTTAGCCATCAGCTTACAACCAGCCCCGTGGTGATGGGGACAGGGGTTTATGTGACTCAAATTCCAAAGCTGTTTTCTTCCTGTTCCCGATGGATCTGAGCCAGTTACAGTGGAGTCGTTCCCAAGGCTGGGCGGCACGGTGTGGGGCTCACCGGCAGTCCTTCTCGAACTCCTTGGACTCGTCGGTGCAGTGGAAGAACTTGCCCTTGAATAGCTGCACGGCCACCACGGCGAAGATGAACATGAACAGCATGTAGACGATGAGGATGTTGAAGACGTTCTTGAGCGAGTTCACCACGCAGTCAAACACCGCCTGCGGGGGCACAACGTGAGGCCTGGCACAGCCCCGCAGCCGGGACTCCAAGGGACAGCCGCCCCCAATGCCCGCGTCCATGAGACCCTCGTCCATGGGGGTGGCCACATCTACAGGGCAATTTGCGTCTGTGGGATGCATCCTGCGGGCCCCATGTCCACGGGCTCAACCAACCACAGATGGGAAAAACTGCACCTGCTGTGTGTGGCGCCTACACTGTGTCAGGTATTTTAAGTCACCTTAAAATGGTTCTGGGAGGGCGTGTGCAGGGTCTCCGCAATACTGTCATATTTTATACAAGGACCCTGAGTGGCTGCGATTTTGGTATCAGATGGGGTCCTGGAACTAATGATCATGCTGTCATTGTAGTTCCTATGTGATAGATGAGGTCATGAGGTATGTCATTCAAGCAGGGCCACCTGGCTCAACCTGAGAAATAAGGGCTGGAATTGGAATCATTTTTTTTTTTTGAGGCAGGGTCTCATTGTATAGCCTGGGCTGTCCTCGGTTGAACTCATAACACTTTTGTCTCAGCCTCCCTCGTGCTGGGATTACAGGTGTGTGCCTAGCTAACCTTGGGTTTTGGTGCATCTAACACCCGTAGATCTCAACTCCTGAGAGCCGGAGTCCCTTCTCTGAGCCTCTTCAGGAGGAAAGGAAAGACCCCCACTGGAGATGCTACTGCTGGGTAATTGTGTGTGCCGCCCCCCCCAACAGCTGGACTTGTGGTCTCTCCCTTTTGCTTGCTGAGCAGCTGGGGTGAGGGAGGGCTCCCTGGATTTGTGATGACTGTGCATGGGGTAAGACATACAAAGGCTACAATGTCACCAGCACCTTCTTCAACATTTGTTCTTGAGTGGTGCACAACCTGTTCAACTGTACAGGGCAAGCCTGACACATGGAATCCTTTCATCCTCCCCAGAGGTGTGTGTGGGGTCCTGGCTTGGAATGTCCCCACGCCACTGACTGCAGCTCTGCCCTTACGGCACTGGGGATCCTGGATTGCCCTGGGTGTTTTCAGAATGATTTCCAAAATGGTGACAGGAAAGTAACTCAATGCTGCAGGAACTGCATGTATTTCAGAGTTAGGCTTCCACGTGGGCGCATGTACAGTACTGGGATTTGAACCCAGGGCCTCGTGCTTGCTATGCAGGCACTCTACTGCTTGAGTCACTGGAGCTCCCAGCCCCTGGTCAATTCTCATTTAACATTTCCAACACCTGGAGAGTCGCTTTCTCCCAAAGGGAACATCACAGATGATCTTAGAAGACACTGGAGCCCAATGCTAGCCACCCTGTCCCGCGGCCTTGGACCTTTGGAGTGAAGCAGGGCCCTGCTTAGCGGTGGCCCTGCTGCATCGCCTGTCACTTTCTAGCGGAGGAAGAGCAGATGTCCAGCTCAAAGCCCTCTCTGGCTACACTGTAGTAATAGCATCTTGTATTTAAGCTGACCTCTGTTCTCAGTTGAGATCTGGTCATTCCACTGAGGAAACTGGAATAGCATTTCTTCTTAAAATAAGTTCACTTAAGTAAAAACCCAAATGACCTGATGTAAAGAAACATTAAGAAAATACAGGTGGCCTTCAGGTGAAGCAAAAAATTGAAGAGGGCTCAAATGCTAGAGCCTGCCTCCCTCCCTCCTTCTCTCTGAAGAGCAGCTTTTGGGGAAAGTTGGCCCAGTCTCTTTCAGAGCAGGAGATGCCACAGCCCAGAATCCGTAGATAACAAGTTACGGCTTCCCTGGGACCAGAACCCTTGGTCCCTGCCTTCCATGTTAAGGCTAAGCCCTGCTGTATCCACACCAGGCCTTCATGTGAATTTCCTGACACCATCCTTACTGTGACACATTTCATCTAACGGAAAATCACCACCGTAGACACATTTTACTGCCACCTGCTGCAAACTTGTAACCGGAACTCTCTCTATATACAAAGGCAACTGCTTCAATTATATTTTGGTTTTGTTTTTGAGATGGGATCTCGTAGCCTACATCATCTGGAACTCACTATATGTGTAGTCCAGGCTGGCATGGACCTCCCAATCCTCCTGCCTCTGCCTCCTCGGCGCTGGGATTACAGGCATGTGCCGCCACCCCTAGCCAACGTGCCCAGCCTGCTACCCTTCCCCAACACCCCGTCTCACCTTGAGCTTTGGCAACCGCTTGATGGTTTTTAGGGGTCGCAGCACACGGAGGACGCGGAGAGACTTAATGGTGTTGATGTCCTTCCCTTTGCTATTGCCACTGTGGAGGGCGTCAGGGTGGGGAGAAGGGAAGACAGGGGTGGAGGTGAGGCTGGGAGGTGTGGGGGCCCGCGGCTCCAAGTGACCCTGCTTTCTGGGTCTAGGGGTTTGGGACAAGCCTGGTGACAACTGGTCCAGTTTGGGCTCAGGAGCCAGCAGCAGACAGCACTTTTAAATTTCTTGTCTCAGGGTTTCTCAACGGCCCTCTGCCATGAGCTTGCCCAAGTGGACGCACAGGATAGCCCTGACACCCAGCTCAAGGGAGCTGCCCTGTCCCTAGTTCTCACAATGGTTTCAGCAAGCCTGTGGTCTGGGAGCACGGCTATCTCCAGAGCTCTTTGAAGACAGCCCCGTTCCCGTGGGCCTGAGAACCAAGGTGAGTGGGGTTCTGCCCTCTGTCTTCCCCAAGCCCCCAGGACAGGAAATGCCCAAGTTGGTGCTGTTCAATGCTGGGCTTGAACTCAGAAGCCCGCATTGCTCACCCCTGGCTTGGGCCTCACTTCCAAGAGTGTCTAAGTACAGAGAGGTTCATCTGGGATCTGGGGGTCCTGAGCTTAGCAGATCAGACCTCAGGATTCCAGGATACCCTTGGCCAACCATCACCCAGGCTCTGGAAGAGGACGGCAACTGGAGGCATCGAGATGAACACCCCCTGCCCCAGCTACCCAAGCCAGAAACCAGTGCCTGTCCTCTGTCCCTGTCCCATCCCCAGCAGGTCAGTGTCTTAGATAACAGATCACCCATTTCCCAACTTGTTTCCACTGCCTGTCTCACTATGGAGTCCAGACTGGCCTCAAATTCAGATCCTCCTGTTTCAGCCTCCCAAGTGCTGGGATTACAGGCATGTTCCATGCCTGGCTGGAAAAATGAGAGCTGCCAACCTCTTTGCACAGAGTGGGCCCCTCCCGGGGTGGTGACCCCTTTCCCCTTTCCCAACCCAGTTCCCACTGCCTACATAGTCAATGCATCTCCTTTGTGGGGGACTGGTGACCTTCATTGCTCTGATAACTGCCCGCCCCAGTTCTTGGGCTCAGTTGAACCTGGATCTTGGGGAAGAGGCACGATGCCCTATGTGTTTTCTGTAAGAAATGAGTGGAGTCACCGTGGCAGGTGTTGGTCACAAGACCTTGGGACCCCTTTGTTCCCTGGGGGAGGGAGTTCTGACAGGACAGAAGCAAGAACACAAGGCCACAGAAAAGAGGCCCAGAACCAACACAGCTGTGAAGTACACAGAGAGTGAGAGACAGAATGTAGAATGCAGAATGAGAGAGAGAGAGAGAGATTTTACCGTGTGCTGCTCCTGGTCACGTGGCGTCGGAGGTAGAGACATATCGTAAGCGGCCTCAGAGAGAGAACACAGAACACGCACGGACACACGTGCACCCCCACACCCCGGGTCTCACAGGGCACTTGGACAGCCTGGGGCTGGCAGCCTCATGGTTCTGGCCCATTGTTTATCTTTCCACCTGACAAACCTCCCCATCCATCCGTCCTCCCCACCAGCCAGGGCCCCAGCGTCTAACAACCCAGTTTTAGACGCTGAAGCCCTAAAAGCAGGAGAGCCCGAGAGCTGGCATCTACTAAAGGCGATCTGCCACTCAATGACACTGACAAGACTGCAGGAATTGCTGCTCGTCAGAACTTCTGGTTCTGGGAGGCTCGAGCTGTGGAGGGAAGGACCTGGGTTTGAACTCTGCTTCTGCCTGCTGGGATCCTCATCTGTGAAATGGCTGGTGGTGTTTGGATGCTCCATAACTGGCACCATTGTCTTGGCTTTTTTTCATTTTTCCAGTATTGGGGTTTGAACTCAGGGCCCTGTACTTGCTAAGCAGACTCTCTACTACTTGAGCCACTCTTCCAGTCTCTTTTTATTTTTTTTTAACATTTTTTTTATTCTTTTATTCACATGTGCATACATTGTTTGGGTCATTTCTCCCCCTCCCCCCCACCCTCAAAAGGGATCTTTTTTTTTTTTTCTTTCTGCAGTACCGGGGTTTGAACTCAGGGTCTCATGATTGCTAGGCAGGCATTCTACCACTTAGCCACTCCACCAGCCCTCTTCCAGTCCTTCTTGCTTTAGTTATTTCTCAGGTAGGGTCTTGTATTTACACTCAGGACCGGCCTTGGGCTATAATCCTCCTGACTGCGTGTCCCAGCAGCAGGGATGGTAGGTACATGCCACTGCTCGCAGCTCATTCACTGAGATGGGCTCTCACAAGCTTCTGTCCAGATTAACCTTGAACCTTCTTCCTCCTGATCTGTGTCTCCTGAGAAGCTGGGATTGTAGCCTTTTTTTTTTTCTTTAAATGGGGTCTCCCCATGTGGCCCAAACTGTCCTTGAACTGGACTCAAGCCAGCCTTCTGCCTCAGCCTCCTGAGTAGTTGGGACTACAGATGGGCACCACTGTACCTGATGGATTCTTTTAAAAACAAAAACCTAGAGTACTTTCAATGCCTATAAATCTTCCCATTCCTTCACACCCTAGCCTCGTCTCCTGAAGGCACAATCAGTGGTTCTGACTGTTCATCTCTGGACTTCTGCAATGCTGCTTTAGGGATGACTGATGGAGTTTCTGATGACCTTGATTTTTGCCTCATCTGCTGGTGTCAAGTGTAGTGTGTGAGTCTCGTGAATGGTCCTGCATTTGCCTGCATGGACACGGCACCATTTTCCACATGAGGAAGCTGACACCCAAAAAGGCCCAGTGACTCTCCTAAGGACACACAGCTAGAAAGTGGCAGGCTGAGATTCAAACCCAGGTGCATAATCTTGTATTCTATTCTAATCTTTTCCTTTCACCACACAACAAAAACAACACCCTTGAGGGGCTGGGGGTAACAAAGTGGCCAATTCAGGGCTCCCCATCTGGCTTCCTGGAAATGTGGTTTCCAAGGATGCAGGAGTGGCTGGATCAAGGCACTCTGCCAGCTGTGCCAGGCTGTGGTCCTGCCTTGGGGAGAAACAGCAGCGCCAGATGAACTCTTGGCAGTAAGGGGAGGATCAGGATCCGCCAGCTGTTGGGAGATGCCAGCTGGCTGCCCTGATGCATGGGCACAGAGCGTGATACCCAGGATGACGGCTGGTGGAATGGCGCGTTAACAATGACTGCACGGGTATGGAACACAGTGAATGGAGGACACATGCGTGTGCACACACGCACAGGTATCTGGGTGGGGTGAGGAGGGGTGGACGGTTGGGAGAGCTTCAACACATCCCCTGGGGGACCAGAGAGACACTGTTCTCCTAGTAGAGACATGGGATCCTTTCTCACCCTCAAAGGCTGTGACAGCTAGATTCCTTCTGACAAGAAAGGAACAACCTTCCCCTTGCCCCCGCTGTCCCCTTCCTTGAGACTCCTGGGCCCTCCAGGGCCACAAAGAACCCAGCTGGCTGGGCCAACAATGTCATTCTGCTCCCTGTGCTCCTTCAGGCTGGTGGCTGGCAGCTGTCTCCTCTCTGACCTCTGGTGAGCCACAACCCTGGGGCCTGAGGTTTGAAATCAGAGTCTCGTACCTTGTGCTTGCTAGGGAGGCTTTCTACCACTTGAGCCACTCTGCCAACCCTTTTTGCCTTAGTTATTTTTCAGACAGGATCTCACACTTCTGCCCAGCCTCACAATCTTCCCATCTGCCTCCTGCATAGCTGGGATTACAGATATACACCACAGTGTCTAGCTTGTAAACTGAAATGGGGTCTTGTTAACTTTTTGCCTGGCCTAGCCTTGAACTACAGTCCTCCTGATCTCTGCCTCCTAAGTATCTTGGATTACAGGTGGAGGGGATCTTTCCCTAAAACTGTAATTTTAATCTATGACTTGTTGGGGCTCTCTACCTTGTCTGTGAGCAGAAAAGAGCAGGATGAGGTCCTCAGAGCACCCCAGTGTGATGCTCTACACCTCAGGCATAAAAGATTAGAAATCTGGGCCAGGGGAGGGTTCCAAAACTATTTTTTTTGGTGGGACTAGAGTTTGAACTCAGGGCTTCACACTTGTAAAGCAGGTGCTCTAGCATGTGAACCATATCTCCAGTCCATTCTCCTCTGGTTGTTTTGGAGATAAGGTCTTGCAGTGAACTAGCTGCCTGGGCTGGCCTCAAACTGCAATCCTCCCAATCTCAACCTCCCAAGTAAGCAGGATTACAGGTATGAGCCCCCAGTACCTGGCCAGATTCTGAAACTTTTTTTGGGGGAAAGTTTTAGCTTAATGGCTCCTCCTATGTTTTTATTTATTTATTTCTGGAAGTTTGGCTTTTGGCTGTGGAGGAATGGCTTGATCAAGCTGGGATGGGCTGCAGTCCTGCCCTTAGGGAAAAGTCTCAGGGTATTGTGGACATTGAGTGAGGTGGGGAGGGCATGGCGGGGATGGGGTCTCACAGGCTCCTCTGTCAGAGGAGCTGACAAGAGCTATAAGATCTGAAAATCTCATGTGAGAGCTTCCAGCCTGTTGCAGGATGCTCCCAGCAAAATCTCCCACCTCCCAAGTCTTGATACATAAGGACTGAAATGACCCTGTGAGGCTCCCGGGGTGGCCTGACATCCCTGTACCCACCTTTCCTTGCCTGGTAACTAAAAATAAGAGAACATTCAAACTGGAATGCACAAAGCTGCACAGGCAGCTTCATGGCCACAGCAAGTTTACGAGAAGAGTTTAGGAGCTCAAGTTCAGGGCTGGGCATGCAGCTCAGGGGTGGGCACTTGGCCAGGATGGGGGAGGCCCTGGGTTCCATTCCTGCCACTGCAAAACGGCTCATGGTGACTTCGGATAAGCCACGAACAGCCTGTTTTAAGTGCCGGCCCATATGGCAAAGGGTCTGTGGTTGATGGACTGGCTTCTGGGTCTTTTGAAGTGATGGCTCTCACACAGGTGTGGGAGAAAAGCAAATGGAGAATGGATCTGAGCTGTGCAGTGCTGCAGCTCAGAGGACCCATGGAGGGCCAAACCCACCACTAAGGGCATAACTGACAAATGGAACATTGTGTATCTCCTGAGCCCTGGGAGTGGCAAGGTCTGCCGGGAAGAACCTGCTCCAGAAGGCCCAGGAAAGGCAGGTAGGTCCCACCTAAGCCTTTGTCCTGGGCTTGGCCTGGGTTTGAACACCAACCCTGACCAGATGCTGGGGACGCATCCCATCCCGATGCCAGACCGATGAATGACACACGCCCAGGGTGAGGCCAATGGTGAGACCCAAAGACACAGGACTGCTGGAGTGGGGCGTGGGGAAGAGGGAAAGGGGGAGGTGGACACAGAGAGACAACAGGGAGCTATAAATTTTTGAGTGAGAGGAAAGAAGGAGAGAGAGAGTGAGATAGAAAGAGAGAGACAGAGAGAGAGAGGGAGAAAAGGGAGAAAGGAGAGAAACTAGTGAGAGAGGAGACAGTGTGAGAGACAGAGAAAGGGATGGAGAAAGGCTTAGGTTATCTCCATAGAATGATCATTTCAGCCTCATGTTCACTATCTACTGAGGTTTGGTGTTTCTTATTGATTTGCAACTGTTTTTTACATATTAAGAACATAGACTATTTGTCTTATGTGTATATATGTAAATGGACTCTGTGGTCCAAGCTGGCCTGGAGCTCCTGATCCTCCTTCTCAGCCTCCCAGTGCTGGATCATGCTTGCTCTCCTTATCTACAGCAACCTTTCTCCCCTAATTTGCTGTGCGTTTAAAGAACTTATTTGTTACCTAACATCCTGATGATAACGTAGCAAACCTCCTGGTTATGGTTATTACTGAGATTTTTGTAATTTCCTCTTCTGGTTCTCTCATAGTCAACTTATTCAAGTCCTTGCCTAACTTATTCAAGTCCCTGGGTTCTGTCATCTGCAGCACAAGGAGTAAAAAGGAAAGAGGGAGAGAGAGGGAAGAGAAAGGAGGCAGAAGGACAGAGAAGAGAGGGTGGGAGGTGCAGAGACAGAGGCTTGGCCTCCCCACTCTGAGCCCCAAGGCGCCAGAGGCTCTTGTGCTTCTACACAGCTCGACCTCACTGTACTCCCAGACAACAGAGCAATGGCGGCCTACTTTCCCTTCAATTGGAAATGGCCACTGACTTGGCCCTCCTCACAAACCAAGCCCTGGTTGTTGGTTCAGGGACATGAATCAGGGCCCCTCGATATCTGACCAGAAGGCAGCAGGGACGAAGCCCCTCCGCCCCCACCCTGATGCCTAACTATGGGGTAAGATGGGTCAGGAGCCCTGTAAGACCTCCTGCCCAGGAATGACCCACTATGATGGGCACAGCCAGGTCCCCGGGACTAGATTTTAGATGAGGAGCTTAGCAGACCTTTTCAACCAGCCCCAAATGTCTACAACAGGAGGAAGCTACTAGGGCCCCAAAGGCTAATGGCTGCTCAGCCCTTGGGTGCCATCTTGGAATGGTCCCCCAGGAATGCCTTACTCCTTGTAAATCCCAGGGTGCCATCTTGGAATGGCTGCTCAGTCTTTGGACATCATCCTGAAATGGTTATCTAAAACTTGGATGCCACTGGGCACTATCTTGAACTAGCTGTCCAGAACCTGGGTGCCACTTTGGGATGGCCATTCAGAACTTGGGTGCCATCTTCAAATGGCTACTTATCTCTTAAACACCATCTTGGAATGGTTGTCTAGAACTTGGCCACCCTATTGGAATGGCTACTCAGAACTCAGGTTCCATTTTGATTAAACCTAATGGAAGGGCCACATGAAACTTGAGTGTCAGAACTCAGGTGCCATTTTGGAATGGCTGCTTAGCTCTCGGGCACCATCTTGAAATAGCTGTCTAGAACCTGGGTGCCATTTTGGAATGGTCATTCGGAACTTGGGTGCCGTTTTGGAATGGCTGCCCAGAACTTAGGCATCATCCTGGCATGGGTACTAAGACCTAGGATGTCACATTAGAATGGATGCCTAGAACTCCATGACCATTCTGGAATGGCTACTCAGCTCTTGGACACCATCCCAAAATGGCTACCTATAACTTGGGGGCCATTTTGGAATGGCTCCTAAGCCCCACAGTGCCATCTCGAAATGGCTGCTCAGCCACTGGGCACTGCCTTGAAAAGTGCCACATACAACTGGGGTGACCTTGTAGAGGCAGAGTCTCCTAGGATAGTCAGGAGAAGAGGAAGATCCACAAGAAAGTCACCAGGCCCACACTACAGGGCCTCCACACACAGGGGGTGAGGATTCTGACGCACATTCACTTTCTGACTGTCTTTTTAGGGGTGCCCAAAGAGACAGCGGCCGGGGAGGGGAACGGAGCTCTGGAGGGAAGGGGATGAGATGTGTGTGAATCTAGTCTACAGAAGCAGCCCAGCAAGAGGCTGGCGAGCACCGCGGCCCTTTGCTGTGTGAGGAGGCAGAGGTGGGGATGGCTCCCTCCTTCCTCCAGTTGATGTCATGCACAAAGCCAGCTGCAGCTCTTCCTGGCGGCATGCCAGTGCCCCACCACTCCGGACCCTGCACTTCCCATCTCTGCACCCTGGGAATCCATCCCCTGACCCAGTGGGTGGCCCTGGACCAGGGAAAGGGGTACTCGAGGGAAGACTTACGTGAAGGCAAAGGCCACCAAAGCCCCACTGACCACTATGAAGTCAAGAATGTTCCAGAGGTCACGGAAGTAGGCGCCCTGATGCAGGACGAGCCCCAGGTCGATCATCTGTGGGGGGAGAAGACAGTGCTCAGGCACCTCCACCCACTTGTTCAGGGTAGGCAGGACACCCACCTGCCTACCGTAGGGAAAGGAGAGGCAGGAGTGGAGGAGAGGCAGGAGCCATGCGTCCCCACCTGCAGGGCGGGACCTGGGGAAGAACAGGAGACCCTGCGTGGGAGACGGCCCCTCCTGACTAAAGTAGGGAAACTCTGATTTGCAGGCTCTTAAGCCCAATCCTCCCAGGACTCCCCCGTCTGAACCCCCATGCTGGCGACCTATGCTCAGACCTCTGCCTCCTGACCTTCCAAGATACCTGTCCACTTCTCACCCTGTCCTTGCCACAGTGCAGGTCAGCATGCATCACAGCCAACTGGGACCAGGGCCATCAATGCCCACAACTACCAGAGGGCTCCTGGGAAGGCCAGAGCCAGATCCTTCCCCTGCTCAGAACCCTCTATGGCTCTCCCTTCCCTTGGGGTAAAAGTCAAATCCTTCTTTGGTCCTCAAGTTTTATGTCTGTGTAGTCACCTCCTGCTGCCATCCTTCCCTTGGCTCTCCCCTCCTCATGCGCCCAGGGTCCCTCCATCCCTGCACTCACCTTGATCACCATCTCAAATGTAAACACGCCTGTGAAAACGTAGTCAAAATATCGCAGCACCTTCAAGGGACAAAAAAGGGGCACTGGCTCACTGGCTTGCTCCAGCAGAACCCCCTGCAAACCTAGCAATAGCCCCCTGGGGTGTGGCCCCGTGGGAAAGTTCCCAAGCAGCAGCACTTCAACCCAGTGGCACGGTTGGGCAGGGTATGCACTGCACTAGAGGCCTTTGCCTCTACTAGATTTGTAGGTTGTGAATGAAGCCGTCCAGTAGGTGGCACCAAATCCTAACAAATTGCTACAGGAAAGCGGTGGGGGGGGCAGTAATCCTGCTGCTTGCTGGTCTCCCCTGGGTGGGTGGAGGGTGGAGTCCCCATTTCCCCACCCCACTATCTCACCCCTGGCCAGGATCCAGTTGTTTCTGGAGCCTGGATGAGCATTTTTTTGTCCTTGTCCCTCTCCACCTCTGGGGTGACCCCAGGGGGGAAGATATGGGTGGGTTAGTACTGTTCAGCTCAAGCCCAGAGGGGTGAAGTCCATCTTGAAGGACAGATAATTACCGAGTATGGCCACCAAGAGGTGCCCGCAAGCACCTGAGCCAGGCACCTCCCTCCTCCTCCTGGCCCACAGGCCAGATTTCCACCACAGGGCCTTTGCATGGGCCGGTCCTAGAACCTGGAATGCTCTCTATAGATCCTGTCTGGTTCCCCATCACTCCTCCTCTGTGAGTTGGCTCAAGTATCACTTTCCCAGTGAGGCCTTTTTGGCCACCACTTTTAAAATTCCACCTTGGGCATGTGTATGTGACTTGTGGTAGAGCACTTGCTAGCATGTACAAGGCCCTCACTTCCATCCCAAGAACTGCAAAAAAAAAATTGATAATAAGTTTTCTCAGCCCCACAAGGATAGGCGTGTCCCTGCTGTAGCATCTCTAGCTCATCATTCAGGAGCAGGCTATATACAATAGGTACTCAAGAAATGTTTGTTGTGCTGGGCATGGTAGCACAAGGCTGAAATCCCAGCACTGGGAAGTGGAGGCAGGGGGGTCATGAGTTGGAGGCCAGCTTGGGCTATAGGGAGAGCCCTGTCTCAAAATCAAACCAAACCAACGCCCCCCGCCCCCCCCAAAAAAATCCTGGTTTGCTAAATGACTGTGTCTCTGCCAGGGACCCCGCAGATGTACAAGGAAGGTATGTGGACAGCACACGCTGGCCCTGCCAGGCTCCTAACCCACTTAGCCAGGGTGCCCAGTGCAAGATGCACCTTTGCTCTGGTCTGGGAGCGAGTGCCAGGGAAGGGAGGGAGGAGACTACACCAGTCCACCTCTGCCAGGTGCTCAGGGAGATCTCTGCCCAGTTGCCTACAGGCAGTGCCTCAATTTCCCCATCTTAGTGATGTGAGGACATGGTGTGTGCTCATTCCCAGGACTCAGGAGAGGCTATGGGCCCAGCCCAGAGAACAGCGGGCGCTCAATAAATGCAGACAGTTGAAAGAAACAGTGGGAGCTGTGGGAAAGAGAGTTTTTACTTGGCTGTGTGACCATGGACAGTACACTTGTAGCCCCTTAGCCCCCCCACTCCCCGAGCCTCAGTTTCCCCATAGGTTCAATGGGGGACTCTGGAGGGGAGCTGTGAGGGCTAATAAGATGTCACAGTAAGAGCCTGAGGCAAATTTTGCTGCCCAAAAAACTAAAAGTGGAGCTGGTTATGGTGCCTCACACTTGTAATCCCAGCACTCAGGAGACTGAGGTGGAGGACTGCGAGTTGAAGTAAGCTAAAAGCACAGACTGCATGCCTGAGTGGAACCACTGTCTTCCATGTGGAATAGCATGAGGCCAGCTTTCCCGGGCCACCTGTGAGAAGCTGGGCAGAGCTCCACATCCCATCCACAGTGTGCACGACCTCCACACCTGCTGGCCTCCCTCCCCATCAGGGAGTCTGGTGGTCTTCTGCCTCCACCACTCTGGGCCACCGTTCCCCAGCACACTATGCAGGGTGTTCCCCGCCCTGCCCCCCACGATGTGCTTTCTGGTGTGGGCACTCACGTTGTTCCGGGGTGCATTGGGCTGCACAGGGTCCTCGGCTGCCAGGGCGATGCTGCTCATGGCAATCACCAGGAGGATGCACATCTCGAAGTAGCGCAGGTTCAAGATGTAATGACACAGGCGGCGAAGGCTGCGGGGACAGAGGTGAGACCACCGGTTCTCCTCCAGGGTCTCGTGCCACTAGCACTGTGCAACCCTCCAGCTTCCAGGGCTGCACATCCGCAGATCGTCCTGCTCCTTCAGTTGGGGTCTCCCTGGAGCCCCAAAAAGGCAGGCAGGGGTCCGAGCACAGCTAGGAGAGACACTCTCCAAGGCCTGTGTATCTGAGTGCCTGCCTTGTACACACAACTCTCTTGGAACATCACAAGTTCCAAGCTGGGTTGAAGAAATTTTTTCTTTGCTTCCATCGGAGACAACAAGGTTTTTTGGAACTGAAATTTGAACTCAGGCCTTCACATCTGCAAAGCAGGAACTCTACCATTTAAGCCACACCACCAGCCATTTTGCTCTGGTTATTGTGGAGGTGGGATTTCCAGAACTATTTGCTGGCCTCGAGCTGCGATCCTCCAAATCTCAGTGTCCCAAGTAGCTAGGATTATAGGTGTGAGCCACTGGTACCCAGCAGAGATGAAAAGATTTTTCACACATAAAATATTCTAGGGTCAAACAACACTGGCTACCTATGGGTTGAATAGATTTATTTATTATTATTTTTATTTTTGGTGGAACTGGGGTTTGAACTCAGGGCTTCGCACTTGCTAGGCAGGTGCTCTACCACTTGAACTACATCCCATTCCTTTTTGCTCTTAGTTTATTTTTTTGATAAGGGTCTGGTGATTCTGCCTGGGGCTAGCCTCAGACGATGATCTTCCTACCTGCATCTCTCAAATAACTGGGATTGTAGGCATGCACCATCACACCTGGCTCAGTGTTTCTTTAGTAAGGGAGAAAAGTCAACTAGATAAAAAATTAAATGTGCAGGGTGAGTGTCTGAGAGGCAGGTGATAGAAATCAGCTTCTTCCCAGCTTGTTTGATGTCAAGAAGCATTTTGGGAAATCACGGTTTTGAAAAATACCCTTTTGAAAAATGCAATCCTGAAACCACCTGTAAGCCAAGATGACATCTATGTGACACATTTCTCCCCCAAATGACCTATCCCCCTGAAGGAGGCTCAAGACAGAAGGCTGTGGAATACTGCAGCCATTTGTCCAGAACCCACACCCTTGTGGTGTAGCTGTTAGGAGATCTCGGGCTGGGGCTGCCATGGATGGTAGTGCAGGTTGTGCAGTACACAGGAAGCTTTTTCAAAGGGCTGCCCTTTCTATTCCAGTATAGATCTGATACTTATGACAATGAGTGGACCACACTCACGGGTTGGTGGTGGACAGGATGAACATGGAGCTGTAGGGGGGCATGGGCTTGGGGCCGTCCTCCCCAGAGTCATCCTCCTCCTTCTTCTCTTCCTCTTTTTCTGGTGGTGGGTCCGGGTTGGCATTTTTGTTCACTGTTGGGACAAGAATGGGCATGGGGCTTCCTCCATCCTTTCCCACAAGTCTTGGGTCTCCTGTCCACATCCAGAGCCAGTGATAAGCAGGTGATGCATACAGAAGCATCAACTGCACACCAGGCAATACAGCGTCACTTGATCCTCACATGACCCTGTGAGGCTGTGCCTTTAGAATCCTCAGTTGATGGCTGAGGAAACTGAGGCACAGAGAAGTTAAGTGATTTGCTCAAGGTTACACAGCTGGCAAGAGAGAGATGATATGTGAACCTGGGCAGCCTGGACCCAGAATCCGTGCTTCCAACCACCAGCCTTGACTTGGCTGGAATTGTTTTTTAATTTTTATTTGGTGGCACTGGGGTTTGAACTCAGGACTTTGAGCTCACAAAGCAGGTGCTCTACTGCTTGAGCCACACCTCCAAGCCATTTTGTTCAGGTTATTTTGGAGATGGTGGTCTCAAGAACTATTTGCCTGACTGGCCTCCAACTGTGATCCGCCTGATCTCAGCCTCCCAAGCAGCTGGGATTACAGGTGTGAGCCACTGATGCCAGCTCGGTTGGATCCTTAAATCAAGCTGCCTTTAAAAAGAATGGAATTAACATGTTGAAATGTCAACATTTTGGATATAAATAAACAAGCACACCGTTATTACTGATGTTATTTTCAAGACAGGGTTTCGCTATGTAACACAGGCTGGCCTTGAACTCGCCTGCAGAGCCAGGCCACGCCCACAGGTGTGTAGCACCATGCCCCACTTCTTTCCTAGTTTCTGATGTAGCCACCAGCAAGTTCACTATCATGCATGTGGCACATGCTGTGTGTCTTCTGGACAGCACTGGCCCTAGTGAACCCTCTTGAGTTTCCTTCTGCCACCCCCCACCCCAATTTCCCGCTGCAGACTGCATTCTCCACCAGGACAGTGGCTTCTGGCCTCCCAAGAGGAACACAGGATGCATTAAGCATTACCGACCCTGCCAAGTGTGCCCATGTGACTCTGGGTGCCTATCTCATTGAACCCCCCACAGCTCTGTATGAATTTTCCAGGGGAAGAAACTGAGGCCAGAAAGATGGGATTGCCAGGCAAAGCCTCCAGGGGCATAGGGAGGCCGGCAGCCTGACCCCGGGTCCCACGAGGATGGGGCCTCACCTTGGACCACGGTGTGGTTGAGGGGGGGTGGGCAGGCCGGTGGGATATCGACAGTGGTGTGGTCGGGCTTCCTGGCAGTCTTGGCTGAGTTGGTCTGGCTGCTGCTAGGGTTGGTGACGATGAGGCTGTTCTCAGGGATCTTGGGGGGGCCAGGGTTGGACGGGTTCCCTGGATTGTTGGGCATCCGGCGACTGGCAGCGTTCTGAAGGTTGGTGGCCATGGTGGGTGGGACTGGGCCAGGGTCCATGCTGTTCCCTATCTTGGCTGGGCTGTGGGACACACAGCCAGTGTGGCCGAGGCTGTCGTGGGGGCTGGGTGACTCCCCAGTGGCCAGCTTGTTGTTCTTCATGTTGTCAATGTCCTCGGCCAGTGGCGGGTCTTGGCGGCCCAAGTCCTGCTGGATCGGCCGGGTGGTTGACAGGTTGGGGCCAGACACTGGGACCCCAGAGCCCTGGATGTCTCTGAGGAGAACAGCAGACAAGAAAGCATTATGCAGTGACATCAGCAGGCAGAGGCTGCCCAAGATCCCATCATTCAAGGTGGACATCAGGAAGTCAAGTCCATGGCTGGGGTGAGCTCTGTAGTACAGTGCTTGCCTAGCTTGTGCAAGGGCCCTGGGGTCCATCACCAGCAATGCAAAAAAAAAAAAAAACACCAAAAACCCAGGGGTTCCATTTCATCCTGGCTCAGAAATTAAGACCTTTATTGGCCAATTCACAGGTCCCCATAAATCCTTGTCACCTATTTCCTACCCACACCTATGGCATTGTAACATCCCACCCTCCCTGGAATTTCCTCTGGGGAAAATCTCAGAGGAAAAAAGAACTTTCCACCAGAGCCTTCACTGCCCCTGAGCCAAGGCTTTGTGTCACTCTGTGGTCAGCTCCCAGGCAGGATAGGTGTCCTATGGTTATCTGACATAAAGCAAATGACACTCTTTTGAAATGTGTTTTGCAGTGCTGGGGATGAAAGCCAGGGCCTCATGCATGCGAAGCCACACCCTCTGCCCTGGACACTGAAACATAATAAAAAATAATAAAAGCCACATCTTCAGACTGGAGGAGTGACTCAAGTGGTAGAGCGCCTGTTTTGCAAGTTCCAAGTCCTGAGTTCAAACCCTAACCCACCAAAAAAAAAAAAATCTTCCAGAAACCACAGCTGAAGTTCAATAACACAAAGCCCTGGATGCTGTGCTCTGCTTGACCTGTAGTAACCCCATAAGCCTCAGCCCAAAGAGACGCAATGACTGTGGGTCATCCGTACCCATTATCCAAAATAGTGGGGAAAGACCGTCAGCACTCAGCATGTGCAGACAGCCTTCTTGTCAGGATTCCAGAGTCACAGTGTACCAACTACCCACACAGTGGCTACAGTGTGGCAGGTGTTCTAACTCATGTAGAAAAGGTAAAAGTCCAGGGAGCATGAGTATAAGTTCTGTGCAAACAGGTCATCATTACACAGAAACGACTTTAGCATCTGGACATTTTGGTATCTAGGAGGGTCCTGGCACCGATTCCCTCAAGAAAACCAGGGACAACTGTACAGTATTGCTTAATTTTTTAAATTCTTTTTTTGGGCATTACTGGGACTTGAACTCAGGACCTTGACCTTGCTTAGGCCCATGCTCTATCAGTTAAGCCAATCCGCCAGCCCCCTTTTTTGTTTTCGCTTTAGTTATTTTTCAGATAGGGTCTTGTGCTTTTCCTCTGGGCTGGTCTCAGACCTTGATCCTGACTCCAGAGAAACTGCGATATAGCTGGGATTACAGATGTGCACCACCACACTCAGCTTGTTGGTTGAGATGGATTTTGCTAACTTTTTGCCAAGGATGCCTCAAACTGCCTCTTAATCTCCACCTCCCAAGTAGCTGGGATTATAGGCGCAAGCCACCTTGCCTGGCCCATTCATTGTGTTTTTCATTGGTCAAAGAGAGACAAGGTAATATATTTCCAGGCCAAAGTAGGTAAGTGGGATGTTGCTATGAGTATCTTGTGGAAGGGGACACTGAGGCTTGGTCCAAGGCTTCTCTGTGCCACAAAGGGAACTCTCAGTTCTCAGTAATGTGAATGGGTCATGGATGGACATTTTGGAAGACAGACAACCCAGGTGGGAGCCTTAGCAATGCTACTTAGCTGTGTGGGCATGCATAGTTTGCTTGACCTCTCTGAGCCTAACTTTATCCCCCACCCCCCCATCTCTGTGCTGAGATGGAACCCAGGGTCTTGCACATACGAAGCAAGCATTCTGCCACTGAGCCAGGATTTTCCCTCCAAGGTTGGCTGAATCCAAGGATTTGGAACCCTTGAGAGCCGGCAGTGTGCACGTTTGATAGATATCCTTACCAAAAAAGCAGACCCAGTTCAGTTAGAATTTCCAAAAGAACCTAACCCTCTGCCTGCCATCTGAAGAACTGCGGTAAGTTAATTTCCGGCGGCAGAGATGATGAGAAAGCTCAGGTGGCGTTTGCTTGGGGACGCCCCATCCACAGCCCTGAGGGCCTGTGGAATTTGGGTCTTTTTTTTTTTTGCTTTCTTCTCTTGGCTCTGTTGGTTGGAGAGTTTTAATGAGCCCAGCTTGCAGAGCCCTAAGCTCGATTCCTGGGAGATTTCATTTCCAAAGTCTCCAAGGAGGTCTCAAGAGACAGAAAACTTAAAAGCTGGGCCTCTTCCCCCCTTCCCTCCTGGGATGTCACACTGTCTGCTAGGAACAGTGGCTGGTGGTTGTGTGATGCCTGTCCCTTGCCGCTTCCTTCTGCCAGGGGCTGGGGACACTCCCCCATGGCATGCTCAATGTGAGACAGTAGATGGCTCCCCATTATTTGGGGGGCGGTGATAACAGTAGCCACTAGTTACTGCCCACTTCCTGTGCTCCCCACAACCCCAGGACTTCACGTATTTATTTACTGAATTTCCACCTTGGCTTCTGAGGTGGGGATTATGATTTAGTCTCATTTTACAGAGATGGAAACTAAGGCCCACAAAGGCAAAGCAAGTGCCCCCATGTTATTCAGCTTGAAAAGGGCCATCTGGAAGCTGGTCCCAGAAACTTTAAGCTACAAGCATTAGTTGGGTAAGAAAATGGGACCATGAAGGATTTTGGGTAACTGGAAAGGGGGTGCTGTGAGAATGAGGGAGTTACAGGGTCATATGCCAGCTGCCATCACTGCAAGGTGCAAATCTTTCCTGGCGCCAATGGAGAAGTGGGTTGCCATGGTGATGGATGCAGGCAGAACCAGGATGCTAGTGGCTGAGACACTGATCCTGGGATGGGCGGATGCGCTGGGGTCATGGATTTTTACTGGGAATTAGGGGAGCTTCAGCGTTGCTTTGGTCACGGGTTGGGGGCAGGAAAGGGGCTCAGCTACATGGAGAGCGACCTGGGAGCAGTAACTATGGAATGAGAGTAAGTAGGAAGTGCTCCAGTCCACGCTTGCTGGGGGAGCCAATGAGAACTTCAGGGCAGGGAACAGGGAGACAAAGGCAGAAATGGCGGGGGGAGGGGGACACAGTGAGTTCAAGGCCAACCTGGGTTACATAATGAGATTCTGCCTAAAAAACCTCAAAACAACACCCTCCCCAATTCTCCCAAATAAAAGTGCCTTTAATCTTCATAAATATTATCAATGAACATATGAACTTTTTTTTTTCCCGAGACAGGGTCTTGCTGTGTGGCCCAGGCCTGGAACTTAGGATCCTTCTACCTCAGCCTTCCAAGTGCTGGAATTACAGGCGTGCCTGCCAGGCTTTAATTTTTAAAAAGAAGTCTAGCAACGAGAGAGTCTTTTTTGTTTCGCTTTGTTTTTTGTTGGGACTGGGTTTGAACTCGACTTCACCCTTGCAAAGCAGGTGCTCTACCGCTTGAGCCGCACCTCAGTGCATTTTGCTCTGGTGATTTTGGAGATGGGGTCTCGTGAACTATCTGCCTGTGTCTTGAACCTCCATTCTCCTGATCTCAGCCTTGCAAGTAGCTAGGATGATAGGCTACTTGGTGCCACTGGTGCCCAGCAATGTATATATATATATATATAAATACAGTTGTCCCTTTGAATCTGTGGGTTCCATGTACATGGATTCCACCAACTGTGAACTGAAAATAGTTTTTAAAAATTGTAAAGACTTTCCCGTGTTATTATTTCTTGAACTGTACAGTATGACAACTATCTCCACAGTGGTCACACTGCATTGTCAGATGTCAACTAGAGATGACTGAAAGTGTGTGGGAGGATGTGCGCAAGACCTGTGCAAATCCTACGCCATTCGGTGTAAGGACTGAGCACCCAAAGGCTTTGTATCTGCAGGGATCTTGGAGCCAATTCCCTGAGGACGTGGAAGGCGGACTGAGCACTTGTTCTAAGCCAGGAACTCCTCCAAGCATTCTATGTGTGCTGATTGCTTCACACCTGGCATCTCTCCCCATGGTCGGTATTGTTACCCCCTTTGCGGATAAGGAAATGGAGGCCCAGAGAGGCAAAGTGACATTCTGCAGGTCACACACCCAGGCAGAGACAGGGCAGGGTGTCACCTGTGTCTCCAAAGTCCTCGTCCTTCCCTACTGGACTGTTGTAGCATTGTAACCTCTGATGCTCAGAGTCTTTGGAAGATTCTCAGGGACGCTGTTAGGGACGTCCACTGCCAGATTGCACCTCCTTCAGTAAAATAACAGATATGATAACAGGGGCGGTACTTACAGTAACATTACAAGTGATAATCATAGCAAGAGTAATTAGTATTCACTGTTCCTTATTACACAGGGAGTCCACTGCTAACCACTCTGAGCCACCTCAAATCGCTTTGGTGGTCTCCCATTCTCCAGAGGAACCTAAGGTCCTGCTAACTTCTCTCTGGTTCCTCCAATGTCTTTGTCTGCCACCCTGTCCTCACTCTCTATGCCACCTCTGTTCCACCTCAGGACCTTTGCACATGCTGCTCCTGAGTGGAGACACTACTCTTTATTGCTCTTCTTGTAATGGTGATCTGAGACCCCAGACTTGGAGGGGTTGTTTTTGGTCATATTCCCCAAAGTGCCTCTGCTACGGTTTGAATGTGTCCCCCACCCCCAAATTTATGTGTTACAAACTTAGTCCTCAAATTCATGTGTTAATGGTGCTTGGAGGTGGGGCTTTTAAAAGTAGGTTAGGATTCAATGAGCTGATAAGATGGGGCCTTCATGATGGCATGGGTAGCTTTAAAAAAAGAGACCTGAGCTGGCACACCTGCTCCGTCCCGCCATGGGACACCCTCCACCATGTTAGGGTGCAGCACAGACTCCTCCACGCCCCCCCCCCACCATGCCAGCAGCATGCTTTGGGAGCTACCAACTTCCAGACCCTGAGCTACAAACCTCTGTTCTTTATAAATCATTCGATCTGGGGCACTTTGTTACAGCAAGAGAGCACAGGACTAAGCCTCACGTTGCCCCTCATCTGCAGGGTACTGGCTAGGCACTTATTAAACTAACTGAATGATGGGGCCGAATACACCTACAGAAGGCTCTAGAGGAAGAATGATCCAGAACAATGGCTTATGACATGCTAATTGAGTGACACCGTGGGAGAATTTAAAGAATGGGAGGTAAGTATACTAAATACCCTATCACGTACAAAGAACTCTCTTTTCTCCTTCCTTCCTCTCTTCCTCCTCCCTCTCCTGCCCTCCCCCTTCCACCCCTCTCCTTCTGAATGTCTCTATTCTGAAGATAACTGCCTTCATGTGAACAAAGCTGTCCATACCACCCGAGCCAGCCAGCATTCATACCTGTCACACCCAGTGTAATTTTGCACGTGGATGCCTGAGTCAGAATTCCTTTACTCTGGCCTCCGCAGCCTCATTACTCAAAGTGTGGTCCCAGGACCAGCAGTATCGTCTGTGTCCTTGCCTGAGACCCAATGCAGCATCTCAGGCGGGTGAGGCCTGAGCCCTCTTGACTTAGACGCTGTATTTTAATGAGATCCCTGGGGACCCACCCGGTCCCCACATACACATTCAGTTGTGAGAATGGCTGACCTAGTTTGTACGTCCAGGACAGAACCACTTAAACCAATCACTGACAAAAATCAGGTCGGAGCCTGGTGGCTGACTCCTGTAATTCCAGCTATTCAGGAGGCAGAGACTGGAAGGATGGAGGTTGAAGGCCAACGCACAAAAAGCTGGTGAGACCCAGGCGGGGTGAGGAGGAGCTCAGTGGTGGAGCACGTGCCTGGCAAGTGTGAGGCCCTGAGTTCAAACCCCAGTGCCGCCAGTTTAAAAAACAAACCTGTCACCTCAGCTAGACTGCAGGATGGGGTCCTACTGGGCAAGAATGGGAGACCCTACTTGGAAAATAACAAGAGCCAAATGTCTGTTCTCAGCACCGTGAATGAAATGAAATAAAATAAAACACAAGCAGATAAATAAAATAAAATGATAAAACACACAGAATGAAATGAAATAAAGCTAACAAAAGAAATAACATAAAATGAATAAAGTAAAAATAAAATAAAATGACAAAATAAAACGACTAAGTGACATAATAAAGTAAAATAAAATAAAATCGATAAAACACGTGAAATTAAATAAAGTAGATATAAAAAGTAAATAAAATAAAAACAAAGTAAAATGAATGAAGTAAAGTAAAATAAAATTAAAATAAACACCAAGACGGATAACATAAATGAAATGAAATAAAGTAAAATTATGTAAAGAATAAAATGTAAATGAAAAAGTGAAATAAAGTAAATAAAATAAAATACAGTGAAATATTAGTAAACAAGTGAAACGAAATTAAGCAGACGCACTAAAATAAACACAGTAAAACAAGAAAATAAATGAAATACAGTAAAACAGGAAACAAGCAGTACAGGGAGCGGCGTGGCCGGCGCCGTCGAGCCGCACGCAGGGCAGCCGCGCTGTGGGCGCCCCGCGCACGCGCACTCACTTCCTCCTGCGGTGCCTGCGCTCCTTGTCGTCCCGCCGCGCATCCGCGTCGCAGGGGGCCGGGGCTCCGTGCCGGTGTCGCCTCCTCCGCTCGCCCGCCTCGGGGGGGCCGTCGCCGTCGCGGTGGCGTAGCCTGCGCTCCGCTCGGTCCCGGTCCCGCTCCCTGTCGTCGCCCGCATCGTCGCCCGGCCTGCGGCGCGCGCGGTGCCTGCGCGGCTCCCCGTCGGCCCCCGCGCGCGGCGAGCCCCCGCGGCCGTCCCTGGGGGCGCCGGGCCGGTGCGCGTGTACGTGCGCGTGCGCGTGCGCGGCGGGTCTGCGCGGCGCGTCCTCGGTCGTCGTCGTTGCCGGCGGCGGCGGCGGCGGCGCGCACTCAGCCTCCCAGAATCCCGGGGGCTCGGCCTCGCGCCCGTACGGACCCTCGCGGCTGGGCTCGGCGTCGGCGTCGGCGTCGGCGTCGGGGCCCCACGGTCGGCGGTCCCCAGCCCCGACGGCGGCTCGCGCGCGCGCTTGCGCAGCAGCTCCTCGGCGGCGGGCGGCGCCCGCGGCGGCTCGGCCGCGCGGCTCTTGTTGGTGTTGTTGTTGCGGTTCTCCTGCGGGTCCACCACCAGCGGCCGGTCCAGGTGCGTCTTCACGTCGGGCCGCAGGTGGCGCGCGTACGTCGCCTTCCACCGCTCCTCGGGCGCCAGCTCCGGGTACAGCGCCTCGCGGCTCGCCAGCAGGTTCTGCTTGCGCATCTCGCTCGTGCGCTGCTCCCACACCGACTTGGCCGGCTTCTGGTTCCGCTGCTGCTCCTTCCTGCGCGGGCGGGCGAGCGGACAGACAGACAGACAGAAGGCCGGGGCTGCAGCCAGCGCACAGCTCCCGGCCCACCTGACCAAGTGTCCCAGCCCAGTAAGTAACTGTCAAGCTCAGTGTAGACGGACATGTCAGCCTCACTGGTGTCTTGGCCTACCTGGCTGACCCACCTGGCCAGGGAGATCAGCTCATGGTGACTCACCTGGCCAGCTGTCCCAACCCACTGAGGACTCAGCCTGGATGGACAGCTCGTGTCTTGGCCCAGCTGGGGGTCTTGACCCACTTGCCTGACTCACCTGGCCAGGTGAACGGCTAATGGTGTCTCACCCGGCTGAGTATTTCAGCGCAAAGCACTCTCAGCCTCCCAGATGTCTTGGCCCAGCTGGGTGTCCCAGTTGACCAGGCAGTGCACCTTGGTCTAAAAGCAAGGTGTCTCTGCCCAGGTGGACATCTTAGCCCAGGCGGGGCTCTCAAGGTGACTGGTTGTCCCGGTCTCACGGGAGGAACCTCTCAGCCCTCAGGAGTGTCCCCAGTGTTCTAAGGGGGCCGGGGCTGCAGCTGAGTGGTAGAGCGCCCACGCAGCACGTGTGAGGCTCCGTTCCATCTATCCCCAGCGTGGCAAAGGAATCCCAGCTCTGTACTTCCAGTCTTCTCTGTACCCCTTCCCAGCTTGATTTTGCTCTGTGGTTCTCTCATTTTCTAATCGACTAGGCAGTTACTCACTTCTGTCATTTACTGTCTCTAGGCCTGACTGCAGTACTAGCTACACAAAGTGGGACTTTGCTCTTACCACTGACGCAGCAGTCAGAACAGGGCAGGGTGCACATACTAGGTGCTCATTAAACGTCTCCCGGGAGAAAGTGGGTGAGAAGGCACTGGTGTCTCTCAGGCTCTGCTGTTGGGGTCCACCCTCCCCTTTCCTCCCCCTAAACCCTTGCCAGGCTCGGGTGTGGCGCCACGGGGGCTGGGGACACTTACACAGCTATGGACATGCTGGCTGCAGACAGGGGGCTCACTTCTGCCACCTCCTTGGCTTTCTGTAGAGCAAGTTTCTGGTTGGCAGCCTCTTCTTCTTCTTGTTCATCCTAAAAGGCACAGGGATCCCTGTTCACAAAACTGGGCCTCGGGCCTCGCTTCTCATCCCACTGCTGACCATGGCGACATTTGAAATATTTAAAAGAACAGGTGTAGCCCTGGTGTTAACCAGTCAGTACTGATAATGGGGTACTGTGAAACCCCTTCCATACAGGTCTGCTCTCTAGCTCACTAGTAACCCTATTTTAATGTTTTGTTTTTTGGAGACAAGGTCTGGGTATGTAGCCCAGGTTGGTCTTCAACTCGACATCCTCCTGCCTCAACCTTCTGATTGCTGGGATTATAGGCATGTACCACCATGCCCATCTTATTAACCCTATTTTAATACACCACTAGAAGTGAGCCAGAGGAAGACAGCTCCCTTCCCTTCCCATATTGCTAATTTTTAATTAGTTAATTTATTTTTGCAGTGCTGCAGGATGAGCCCAGGCCTCCCAAATACTAGGTGGACACTCTGTGGAGCATCGAGCTGCGCTCCAGCCCCTTGGATTTTTTTCAGTGCTCTCTGAGCCATCTTTCCCCTTCAAACCCCACTAGCCTTGGCACACAGAAAAGTCTGGTGTTCATGGCTCATGCCTTGTGTTGCTAACAGCCCATAGAAAGGGAGTCAGGAAAGGAACTGCTAGTCTCAGTCCCCACTGTGGGAAAGGGAGGGAAGGGGCCAGCTGGACACCTGGCTCAGAGGGGAGGAGGAGGAAGAAAAAGGTGAAGGAAGATTTTTGTTTTTAAATCCATACAGAAAAAGATGTTTTTGGACTTTAAATCCTTCTTCAGCCAGCATGCGTTGAACAGAAAAGCCAACAGAAAGAAAAAGAGAACGAGAAAGACAGATACAAACCCACCACTAAGAGAAAAAGCACTGTGGCCACAGCGGGGCTGTCTCCCTGCAGGAAGGAATCTCAGGACAAGGAACAGCCTCGCCGCCACCTCAGAACCCAATAGATGAGCACATTGTGACTCCCTGTCTCCTGGTGCCACACCCAACACCCAGCATCTCTTAGAATCAGGCCCTGGCAGACTCCCAGCCCGCACCCCCCCCCCCACGAAACAGCCACAGAATCAGGTCTGTGCCCCAAATCTGCATTTTCAGCAAGCTCCCAAGTGAGTACGAAGCACGTTCAGGTTCAAGCAACCAAGACACAATACTTAAAAGCACTACATTCCACATTCCAGTCCAGACTATATGGGTTCAAATTCTAGCACCGCCACTTACTGCTGTGTGACCTCAGGCAAGTCTCTTAACCTCTCTGTGCCTCACCTTCCTTATCTAAAATTTCAACTTTTCTCTGATTCGCCTTACTTCAATCTGACAAGCTATGGATTTTTACAAAAATGTCTGGTTTCTCGTCTGTCTTCCCAGCTTGAATCTCTGCTCATGAGGATAGGGGCATGTGCGTGTTTTGTGCAGTACTGTGTGTCTGGTTTCAAGACGGAGGCTCTGCTCACAGCAGGTTCAGTACACGCTTATTGAATGAGTGATGAAATCTGTAAAGTGGAACTCAGCGAAAGTTCCAGAAATGCGTGTGGGCTAATGAGTGCCTGACCCCGGCTTCTCCCCCATGCCAGCCCCTGGTCTAATAAACTGAAGGTCACAGTGGGATGGCCCCATGGTGACATATGCCAGCCCGGCTCCATGGCCGCCTGGGGCCTGGGATGAGGGAGATTTCTGCTTCTCACCGGTCAGTGATGGAGCCAGGAAACTCTGTCCCTCCTGCCAGGGCTGACAGGTGGAGGGTTGGCAGGGCCAGCTAAGGTTCAGTTCAGTCTCACCAGCAGGTCCTGGCTGGGGAGCCAAGAGGAAGCCTGTGCCTGCTACCTGCTTTTTTTTGGTTTTTTTAATTCCATGGAGCCAGCTCTGGCTAGCTCCTGAGATGTTCCTGACACCCACCCACCCCCAAACTGCACAAAGGTGCGCTTCATTGTTCCTTCTCCCAGGCCAGTGCCCCTGCCCCTGCCCCTGGGCATACAGCCTGGATTTCAGCCCTGTCTCTCCTCCTGGCCCTGCTTCCTTTGTGCAGTGTGCCACCTGAACCACCACTCTTGGCAGCCCGCTCACAGGCTGTCCCAGGGGCAAGGGCTGTGCGACTGAAAGCAATGTTACCTCCTTTCTGCCTACAGAGGTGGACCTGACTCCCGGGCAGTCCAAGGGTGCCTTGGGGCATGTGCCCGGTTTCTGCCCAGATAATTCAAAGGCACTGATCATGAATTTATTCTGATCTATTTAACTGGGCTTCACCTTGCAAAGATGGCATCTCCCCCACCTCCTAAATTCTCTCTGGCCTCATTTCCTCTTCTCTGGTTTTTTTTTTTTGTGGTACTGGGCCTTGAACTCAGGGCCTACATCATCAGCCACTCCACCACCCCTTTTTCGTGATTGGTTTTTTTTTTTAGATAGAGTCTCGCAGACTATTTGCCCGATCTGGGTTTGAACTGCGATCCTACTGCTCTCTGCCTCCTGAGCAGCTAGGATTACAGGCGTGAACCACTGGTGCCCAGCCTCTTCTCTGCTCTTTGAGGGATCAGATCTCTGCTCTTTCAGTTCCTAGTCATGTGGTAGTCACTAAGATCCCTTAGGTTATTTCAGTTTCCCCGTCTGAGACGTGGGGATAACAGTAACTCCCTACCTCTCATGGTTGTTGGAGCCTGGCGTACAAAGAGGACAATTACATTTTTCTGTGGTTATTATTTTGATTTTTTGTTTGAGACAGGGTCTCAATATATATGTAGCCCAGGCTGGCCTTGAACTCATAATCCTCCTGCATCAGCCTCCCAGGTGCTGGGATTACAGGCGTGCACCGTCATGCCTGCTTAGCATCATATAATTCTTTACTGATACTACTCAGAAGTACAGTCCAGGGGCACTCCATCTGTCTACCTCTGAGTACACAAAGACATACATGGAGTCCCAGGCTCCTGTGCAGGCTGCTACTGCCCATCTGCCCTCAACCCCATTCTCTGTCCTCCATGGAGGCTGACCTGTGTGTACGACACTGAGCCTCGTGGTGGATTCCAGCCCACCACTGGCTGGTTCCAGCCAGAGACCAGAGAAGGTGGGGGGCACTTATTGTGCCATTCTGTTTGTGTCGTCCCGTGGGTCCCCTGATGACACGGTCTGTGCCAGCCTCTTTCCATAATTCTCCAGCTCTGCTGGGGGTGCCTGTAAAGCTACTCCCTGTCCCATCCTTTTGGGTGGTGACAGCACTTGCTAGCCTGGGGACCAAGCCATCCTATGGAGGCCCTGCCTGATCTCTGTAAATGGGTCCTGGGCTGGAATTTGCCATCTCTCTGGCCGGCAGCCACTGGCTCCCCTTCCCTCCCCTCTCTCTGCCATGGAGCTGGTTTGCTCAGGATCAGTGTGACTCTGGGGGACGGAGAGGTGAGAGGTGCATGGTGCATCTGGCCAGGCCAAATGCCGCAACCCTGTCCCCGTGTCCCACCAGCCTGATCTGTCGTGACAGGCAACTTGGTCAGGTAGACGTCCCCCCGCGCCCCCCACCTTGGTGAGCTCCTGGGCGTTGGCCAGGTTGTCCACAGCGATGGCCAGGAACACGTTCAGGAGGGTGTCTGTGGACACCGGAGTCAGGGAAAACAGCTGTCGCAGGGAGGCCCGAGTAACCGGGTCCCCGCCCCCACGAGCCCAGCCCGCCCCGTCCCACATCCCCAAGGATACAGTTCCCGAAGAGCGTGAGGACGATGAAGTAGATGGAGAACACCATGCCGCCCTGCACACCCCCCTGAGACTTGATCCCGTCGTACATGACCTCGTTCCAGTCCTCGCCCGTCAGGATCTGGAGGGAGAGGCGCCCAGCCGGCCTCAGCCCCACCGTCCCCGGAGGAGCCCGGGGCAGAGTCTGCCCCACCACATCTGCAGTGACCCGCCTGGGCCTCCGTCCCTGCAGTGGAGGCCGTCAGCCTGGTTGTAACTCCATTTTCTCTGATGGGGTCTGGGGATCTGTGATGAACTGACTCCTGTCCCCTTCAAACTCCTGTGCCAAAGCCCTGACTCCCAGACGGTTGGTGTTTGGATGCAGAGCCTTTGGGGAGTAAGGGGGTTAGACGAGGTCACGAGGATGGGGCCCTAGTGACAGGATAAGCACCCTTATAAGGAGAGAAAGAGACCAGGGTCAGGGGCATGACTCAGGTAGTAGAATACCTGCCTACCAAGTGCAAGGCTCTGAGTTCAAATTCTAGTTCCGGAAGACGGAGAGGGAGTGGGGAGAGAGAGAAGAAAAGAGACAGACCGACAGAAACAGACACACACCAGGATTCCCTCACTCTCCACCACGTTAGAACAAAGCAAGAAGGTGGCTGTCTGCTAGGAAGAAAACCCTCACCAGAAACCCACCTGCCACTACCTTGACCTTGACCTTCCAGCCTCCAGACTGTGAGAATTGGCTGTCTGGTGTTTAAACCACCACACTGTGATATTCTGTTATGAAGCCTCATGGGCTCATGGCGATAGAGAACTGAACTACATACAAAGCTCAGCGTGCACGAGGCAGCCCCCAAAACCAAAACCGGGCTCAAGGGCAAGTGGTGGATTGGGAGCTGATGGCCAGAAAGCGCCAGCGACAGAGAGGAGAAACCAGACTGGGAAGGGGAGGTGGGAAATAAAGGGTATGTTATTGCCTGTAATCCCAGCTTTTGGGAGGCTGAGGCAGGAGGACTGCAAGTTCAAGGTCAGGTTGTGTAATGGAGCAAAATTCCACCTTCTTGAGGATGAGGGAGCTGGGGCATTTATCCACCCAGGACCGCTCCTTTAAAAGCAGCGTGAAAAAAATTCACCCGTACTGCTGGACCACTGCGCCAAGACAGGGCAGGTACGGTGACCAGAGAAAGATAAATACATAATTATTGTGGTGCTGGGGCTGGACCCCAGGACCTTAGCACATGCTAGGCAAGTGCTCTACCACTAAGTTACACTCCCAGTCTCTGCCCATATTTTACAATAAATTAAAAAAGGAGGACTGGAGGCTTCAAATACAAAGTAATGACTTGATCAGTGTACACGGTATACAGCTATTGGATTGCCACTCGGTATCCTGTACATAGATTCAGGCTGGCCTTGAACCACAACCCTTCCATCTGTCTCCTGAGGAGCTGGAATTACCAGTAGCCACTGCAGCAGGCACAAGCTGTCTTATTAAGGACAAACATTTCCTGTTCCATTGGCCTCACTGCATCTTAATACTAATAAAATCTGTATTCTAACAGCAGGAAAAGATGAAGGGGAGGAGGAGGAATTCAGAAAAGCCCCTTTTTAATTTCTGACACTAGGAGTGTCTGCCCATGAGGCCGGGTGAAGGTCATACCTGAAACACTGTCATTATTGCTGCTGGAAATGTGTCAAAGTTGGTGGGAGGAGTTCCTTCATCAAAATTAAACCTGCAGGGAACAACAGGGACATTTCACATTAGACTAACCCCAGCTGCCCCGAGGGCTCGGTTCAGCATCTCATCTCCATGGCAACAGCAGCAGCAGGAGTGGTACCCAGGGCCCCACGCATCTGGATGGCTGCAATGAGCATCTTGGCCACAAAGAGGGAGGCTAGCGAGGATCCCTGGCTGTACAGAGTGTGTGTAGAGGAGAAGTTGGAGATTTTCAGCAGTACTTACTGGCCCCCAAAGAGTTGCATTCCCAAAAGGGCAAAGACCACGATGAACAGGAAAAGGAGGAACAGGAGACTGATGATGGATTTCATAGAGTTGAGAAGAGAGACGACCAGGTTTCTGAGAGATGCCCAGTACCTGCCAACAGAGCCCGGGGAGGGGACTGTGTCATCCTGTCCCCCTCCGTCCCCACCCACTGTCAGGATGCCAAGGGACCCCAAAGACTTACTTTGTGACTTTAAAAATACGCAGTAACCTGAGAGCTCGTAACACACTGATTCCGAAGGACGTGCCGGGTTTTATGACAGCCCAGATAACTTCAAAGATGCTTCCGATGATGACCTGGTGCACAGAACCAGGTCTCATGGTCACGGACAGTGTCCACCCCACCAGCAGTGTTACTCAGCCCAACTCCCACCCCCAGTGGAGCAGCAAGGAAGGTCCTTTTCTATTTTATTTATTGAAAGCACACACACTTCTGAGAATTACACAGGGGATGCCCAAGCAGCTACTCTAGAGACAGGATGAGGCTGGGGTGCAGCTTAGTGGTAGAGTGACAGCCTAGCATGTGCAAAGGCCTTGGGCTCCATCCCCAGCACCACAAGCAAACAAACAGGCCCTGCCCCTCCCCAAACAAGCACAGGTCGAGGCAGTATTCTGTAAGCTTCCAGAGACCCCAGAGATAGCCTTAATTTTGTACTAACCATTACCTTGCGCTTTTAAAAAATTGATGTGAACTGGGTGTGGTGGTAGTAGTGTATACCTATAATCCCAGCACTCAGGAAGCTGAGGCAGGTACTTGATTCCACTCCTACCTCCTCCAGCCCCTGGCAACCATGAATCTACTTTCTTGTCTCTAGGGTTGGCCTGCTCTGGACATTTTGTAAATTGAGTTATGCAATATGTGACCTTTGTGTCTATTTTCTTTCACTGAGATTTGTGTTTTCAGATCTTTGCCTTTTGAAAGTACCATTTCCCTCCCTTTTTTTTTTTTTTTTTTTTTTTTTTTTGCAATAGTGGCATTTGCTCACACCTTGAGCCACTCCACCAGTTCTCTTTTGTGATGGATATTTTCAAGATAGGGTCTTTTGAACTATTTGCCCAGGGCTGGCTTTGAACTGCTGACCTCCTGATCTCTGCCTCCTGAGTAGCTAGGGTTATAGGCATGAGCCACTAGTGCCTGGCATGAAAGTACCATTTCTAAACAGTGTAGTTTGAGGCATTTCTTTTTGGCAGTTCTGGGGATGGAACCTGGGGGCTCGAGCATGCTAGGCAAGTACTTTCCCACTGAGATATACCCTGAGCAATTTTTTTTTGTAGTACTGGGGTTTGAACTCAGAATCCTGCTCTTGGTCACAGGTGCTCCATCACTTTAGCCACGCCCTCAACCCCCTTTTTTTTTTAAATGAAAAAAATTAGTCTTATTCTTTAAACATTTGGGTTATTTCTGTTTGGGAGTTTTAGTCATATGTATTTACTTTTTCCTCCAATAACAAGAAAGTTCTTTTAAAGTGCTCAGTTACTAAGAATTACTAAGGACTTGGGATATAGCTCAGTGGTTAGCACTTGTCTCGTATGCATAAGGCCCCGGATTCATCCCTAGTACTGTGAAAACCAAAACACCAAAAAGCATTACTAAGCCTTTTTGAGATTAATAGGGTCGTGGTACATCCATCTGGCTGTCCTGTGCCCGGCAGCCTGAAACTGTCAACTCTGCTGTTGTTTGAATGTTGGGCCCCAAAGGCCTGAATGTTAAAGGCTTGGTCCCCAGGTTTCTGCCATTGGAAGGTGGTGAGCTTTTGTGAAGCAGGTCCTAGTGGGATGTCTTTAGGTCATTGGAACAGGGGGACCTTGGCCTCTTCCTCTAATCTTGGCTTCCTACATGTAAAGTGAACTGTCTGCTTCACCATGATGGAATGCCTCCCCAAGCCCAAAGCAACACAGCCAAATGGTCATGGAACTTCCAAAACTGTGAGCAAGATAAACCTTGTCTCTTTATAAGTCAGTCATCTCAGGTGTTTCGTTACAGTGACGGAAGGCTGATGAACACAGCAAAACCCTCCTTTCACCACCAGCTGTGGGTCATCCTTGTTTGAGTCTCCTGGTTACCTGTGAGTGTCTCTAAAATAAATCCTTAGTAGTGGAGTTGCTGGGCCACCACCTCTCTTATAAATGTCCCCTCTCTATGACAGTGTCTACATTCTGGGTCTCTTCTTATTCCTTCTGATTCATCTCAGTCTGTCATACCCAGGGATCACCTTACTTCTCCCCTCACTTTTTTTTTTTTTTTTGAGACAGGGTCTTATTCTGTAGCCCAGGCTGGTTTTGAACTCTTGATCCTCCTGCCTCCACCTCCTGAGGGCTGGGCTTACAGATGTGTCCCACCATGCACAGGTCCCTCTCCCCTTCCAGCCTTTGTCTCCAGCCATTCCAGGCCAGAGCAGGAGCAACAGATGGCAGAAACAGAGTACTTACCCCACAGTCAAAGCAGTTGAAGGAGGAGTGGAAGTAAGGCCGCGTCCCAAGCCCATACATTTTTATAAACATTTCGGACATAAAGAGTCCTAAGAAAATGAATTCTGCATAGTCTAGAGGAAGGAGGAAATAGAGGCGGTTAGGCTTGCCAGGAGTACAGTTCCATGAGGCTCGGACATTTTCACTGAGAACAAAACCTCTGTCCCCAGCTGGGCCTGGTAGGCAGGGCATCCAAGGGACACCTTGGTCAAAGGCTCCATGCTGCTTCCTTTCCACAAGCCTCAGTTTCACATCGATTAAAGAAGAAGAGGAGCAATTGTCCCCCCTTCCAATCACCAGCCACCATCAGGACAATATATATATATTTTTTGGTGGAACTTTGAACTCAGAGCTTCGCACTTGCAAAGCAGGCACTCTACCACTTGAGCCACACCTCCAGTCCATTTTGCTCTGGTAATTTTTGAGATAGGGTCTCAAAAACTGTTTGCCTGGGGCTGGCTTCAAACCATGATCCTCCCAATCTCAGCCCCCCAAGTAGCTAGGATGACAGGCGTGAGCCAGTGGTGCCCAGTGACCTGTGGGAATTTCTTAGCTACAGCATTGGTGAGTCTGGGGGGACCCTCAGGACCTCAAATCCAACTTCCACCCAGGACAGATGTGGAGTGTGACACCCAGACAAGTGACTACACTCCATTGATTCTAAGACCCATTTTTGCTGACATTTTGACATCTCTGAACTCAGCATGCCCTAGTTAAGACAGCTGTGCTCTTTTATTTCTTCACAGCACATAAGAGTTCCTAATAATTGAAGACATCTTTGGTCAGTGGGTACTGACTTGCGCAAGGTCACATGGTGCGTTAGGAGGCAGGGAAAGCATTGAGAATTCAAGGTCACCTGGTATCCAGAATAGAGACCTCATCATCAGACACAGCTTTCACTCTGGAGCCCAACTACCTAGGTTCAGACCCTGGCTTCAACTTCCGAGCTGTGTGACTTAACCTTTTTGTGCCTCAGTTTTCTAAATGGAAAATGGGGATAATAAAAGGATCTTTATAGACACAAAGGCCCCACACAGGAAGTCCCAGTCTCTTGTTTCTAAACCAGGACAGATGACAAGGTGATTAGTGGGGAGAAAAGAGATTAAAAATAGCCCATCAGAAAATGGGAGATGTAAAGGCCTCATTTATAAGAGACTCCAAGGGACCCGAGCACAATTATAAAGTTTGAAGTAGGTCAGGATTCTCAGAAGAAGAACTGCTCCCTCGGGGGTGTCTGGGTTGCGTGTGAAGGTGTCAGCCAACGGGATGGGGAATAATGAGACAATGACCTTGATGAGGCTCGTGGGTCTTTATAGGGCAAACACTTCACATCTCTTGCTGTGGACCAGGTCAGGAGGTTACCGAGTAAGTCAGACGGGTTAACAGATGCAGGACAAGGCAGCCATTAGGTGAAAAGAATGTTTGAAAGTCCCCAGTCAAGGCTCAGAAGACAGAGCCTGGCCATCCACTTGTCCCCTTCCCCGCCCAGGCACTCGTCTTGTTGGTTTCTGAGAACTCTTTACTTTTGAAGACCTGGCCGGGTGTCTCCCTATCTTTCACTGATTCTCCTAGCTCCCAACTGGCCCTCAAATTTTATTCTGACTCCTGGAATCTGGCAACAGACCCAGAGGTCAAATCCTTGGGGGTCCTGGCACCCACTGGAGGGGATAGTCTAAGAATGAGCCCCAAATGTAAGGAAGCTGAAAAGATCAGAAAGGAGGAAGGAGAGAAGCAAAAGTATGAATGAAGAAGGAAGCAGGGAGTCAGAAATGAGAGAAAATTATAGCCTTCCATTTCAAAGGCACCCCACCTCTTAACTATAAATTACCTTAACCCTCCAAGAGATGCACACAGACATTAAATATGTGCTTCTGTTTTTATCTGTCTTGTGGTCTCTGTCTTTCTCTGCTTCTCTTTCCTTTTGTAGCCTCCCACTCCCCCATCAGCACCCCTGTGCCTCTCTTAGGATGAATAACCTGAATTGCAGCTTTTGGCTCTCAGGCCTGAGTTAGATGGGCTATGGTTTGTCCCTCTAAAGGTTTATGTGATGAAAGCGTCGGTCTTCAGGGTGGTATGGGTCTTTAAGAGGCGGGGCCTAGTGGGAGGTCTTTAGGTCATTGGCGACATGGCCTCCCAAAGCGATTGTGGGAGTCCTGTCTCTGTCTGTCTGTCTGTCTCTTTCTCTCTCTCCCCCGCTCCCCTTGGTTTCAGATGTGACCAACAGAATCACCTGCCATTCACTATGATGTTGCCGTAACCGAGATGATTCACTGTTTGGATCTCCAAAGCTGTGAGCTTAATAAACCTTTTCTCTGTACAAAGTCAGCTGCCTCAGCACTTCATTACAGTAGCGTAAATCTGACTTATGTACGTAAGTGTCCACTACAGTACCATCTACACTGGCCCCAGTCACTGCTGTAGAAATGACCAAACGGAAGAGTAGATGCAGTGAGGACCACAAAGGGAATGTCACTACCACAGGAAGAGAGATGGAAGAGGTGGCGTGAGGCGGGGATTAGGGGCTCTGGGTGCTGTGATACTCACAGAGGAAGTCAGAGAGCCACTCGGGTTGGTTGTAGTGAACGATGGCGACACACAGCGTGTTGAGGGCTACCAAACTGAGCACAGTCCAGTAGAAGGCCTGAGTTTTGACCATGCGGCGGATGTAAAAACGCACCCTTCTCTCCTTCTTGTGGAAAAAAGTTGAGTTCTCCAGCTTGGCACTTTTGATGCTGGCTCGGGCGAAGGGTGACCCTGTGGGGGAAGAGAGGATGGACAGTGTTAGGTTTAGCATGTTCCTGGGGAGAGAAGTCACCAGCGTGCAATCACTTTCTGAGAGCAGCCTGGTGCATGCATGGAAGGCCTCCAAGAAGAGGTGTACATGTTTCACTTTAGAAATAATCACCGAGGAATGAGCCAGGCATGTCCTTTTCCTGCACATATTTTTGCTGTTAAGCATTTATCAAGTACTTATTGTGTGTCAGGCTTGGTTCTTGTACATAATGTATGTATGTGATGGAATAATAGCCTTTAAAAAGTTGAGGGAATTTTTGTCACTCACAACAATGTGGACAGAGCTGGAGGGCCTATTCTGGGTGAAACAGGTGCTCAGGACACATTGGGCAATAGAGCTTTGCCCTCCTGGGACATCTTTGCTGGGGAGATAGACAGTTTACTTATTATTAAAATAATCATTTAATTAATAATTTTAATAATGATTTTTAATTTAATATTTATTAAATAAGTAAATCAGCATTATGATGGAAATTGAAGAGTGCTATGGAAAAATGACAAAGTAAAGCACAGTAAGGGGACTGGGGGCCCCCCAGGGTATTGGCCTAAGTCACCCTAGTGTCGCAGGCAGAGGAAATAGCATATACAAAGGTCCTGTGGCAGGAACGTGCCTGCCCGACGTGTAGGGAAACAGCACGAAGATGTCTGTGTGGCTGGAATGGGGTGGTTGAGAGGGAGATTGGTGAGGCCGGGGAGGTGAAAGGAAGACCACACTGGGCTTTGGCTTTCACTAAGTGAGGCAGGAGCCACGGACAGTTTTTCAACAAAGGACAGATGTGACCTCACTCAGGTGTCTGTATCTGTGGGGAGAGCAGCGGGAGGCAATTGTGGCAGCCTGGAAACCAAGTTGGAGGTGACTGCCATGGTCCAGGCAAGTGATAACGCACAACCTGGACTCAGGTGGAGGCTGAGAAGAGGACAGGTGGACGATTTGGGACATACTACTTAAGGTAGACTCGACGTTTGCTGAGCAGTTGGGTGTGGGTGTTATAGAGCCTGAGCTCCTTGAGGGGTGGGGCTGCCACCCACTGAATGGGGGAAGGCTTTGGAGGAGGGAGGAGCTCAGTTTTGGTAGACGGAGTTGATTGATTGAGTGACTGCTGTGCTGGGGATCAAACCCAGGGTTTTCTGCATGCAAAGCAAGTAGCTGTACCACTGGGCTACGTCTCCAGCTAAAATACCTGTTCTGCTGCTTTAATTGCACTCACCAGTTCATGATTTATTCACTCACTAGTGCATCCATCCATTCATGCAACCATCTCTCCTTTCAGCCACTTGTTTATGCATTCGTTGTCCTTCGTCCGCCCATCCGCGCACCCACCCATCATCCAGCCAGCCATCCACTGAGCATGTTCGTGGAACCATGTGACTCATGAGGCACGTGACACAGCTCAGTGTGTGGATTCCCCCCAAATTCACATTGAAGTCCTAACCTCTGGGACCCAAGCATGTGGCTACATACAGAAATAGGATCTTTAAAGAGATAACTGAATCAAAATGAGGTCGGCCGAGGGAGGAAAGGACTCACCCACGGAGGCCATATCGGCCAGCTGCTCCTCAGCCTCTTCCGGGTTCAGCAAATCCGTCTTACTTTTCTTTATGGTGGCTCTCCGCAGAGCTCCAACAATGGGACATAGCAAGAGAAAAGCCCGTTACCTTCTTCCTCCAACAGTGATGGTATGGACAGGACAATATGTCCTTGGCTTCAACCCCCCACAAGTGGCTGGCAGCCTGGATAGTACGCCCATTGCACAGATGGGTAAGCTGGGGACTGGGAAGGCAATATCACTTTGCTTTAAAGGGTCAACACAAGAATCTAGTCCTTCAGAGTTCGTGTTCTCAGCCACTATTTCCCCTCTGGTCTATTTTTATGAAGACCTTTGTATTTTGGAGGGACGGGGGTTTGAACACTTGCAAAGCAGGTGCTCTACTGCTTGAGCCACACCTCCGGTGCATTTGCTCTGATATTATGAAGACAGGATCTCAAGAACTATTTGCGTGGGGCTGACCTGACAAGCCATGCTCCCAATCTCAGTCTCCCAAGTGGCCGGGATTACAGGCGGGGGTCACCCTGCCCAGCAAGCATGGTATTTTCAGTCAACACTCAGCTCTCTCTAACCAAGTTTCTCCCCTGTGGGACAATAGTCTTTAACAGTGAGCTGAACACTCAGTGGGATTATTAATACTATTATTTATTCATTTTGCAAACAGAAATGGTGCAGACCCTGTGCTGGACAGAGCCTTAAGGCTTTCTCTTTGCCATAATGAAGCTGATCCTAAGTCTGTCCAGTGAGGTAGAGGTAGCAGTTTTCCCCTTAGCTGAGACTTCCATTACCCTCAGTCACCTGCCACCTGGTCACAGTGCACTGAAGAGTCTGGAAATAAGCCATTCATACATTTTAAGTAAGCTTTATTACAGTCTATTGTTATAATTCTATTCTCTCATTAGTTATTGTTGCTAATCTGTTATCGTGTCTGTGTTTTTTACTGGGATTTGAACTCGGGGCCTCACATTTGCTAGGTTATACTCTACCACTTGAGCCACTCCACCAGCCCTAATTGCATCTAATTAATAAACTGCAGCATAAGTAGCATTGGAAAAATATAGTATATACAGGATTTGGTACAATCTGTGGCTTTTTAGGTGTCCCTGGGGGGCTTGGGCTGCATCCCATAGTTAATGGGATTCTGTGTTGTGAACGTTCTTCCTGTGTTACAGAAGAGGAAGAAAAACCAGAAGAGGCTGAGCACATGGTTAAAGCAGAAGAGGGAGGGGCAGGTCCAGAACCCCTCCCAGAGAGCAATATCCCCATTCCTGGAGCCACCCTGAGCTGACCGGGCCTTGTGTGTGCTCCTGGCATGGCTGGGACCCTGAGTGTCCACCTCTAGAGGCCTCAGGACCCAGTCCCCTGTCCCCCAGCCTCAAGCCTGGCTCAGAGCAGTTACCATCAAAGGGGTGTCTCTGTTCCACGTCTGTCTCGTCCTCAGCAAGGATCACCTCTTCTGAGAAGAAAGGACACAGAGTTAAGCAGCCGGGTCTGGGGGTCCCAGGTGTGGGGGAAGCGGGGACCCTTGGACTGGGAAGAAGCATCCACCTGGCCTCGTCCACTCCTCGCCTCCTGATGGTACAACTCAGCCAGCCAGGAGGGAGCCCGGCTGCTTCTGGCTCCCAGTCCCATGTCGCAGCAGAGTCACAGGCTGCGTCCAGGCTGTGGCAGTGCTGAGAGGTGGTGGGACCTTAAGAAGCGGGGCCCAGTGGGAGGTGCTTAGGTCATGGGGGCGTGTCCTCAAAAGGGACTAAGGGAGCTCTCCTGCAAGTTGTTCTAAGAGGGATCCTGAGCCCTCAGTCACTCTCTGGCTTCCTGTTGGATGATGTGATCTCTTTCTGTGCCCTGAGGATGTCACAAGGTCCTCACTATTGCAGGCACCACGCTCTCAACTCCAGAATTGAGAGCTGAGTCAAACTCTTTTCTTAATAAAAGTCTGTCTGCTTCCGGTACTTTGTTACAGTAATGAAAAATGGACTAATACACCAACATTATCCCTGCCTTGGCCTATAAACCCCTGTTTGATGTGACTCTTGTCAACCCCTTGTCCTCTCCTACTGTTCTCTTTACTCACTTCTGCAGGCACACTGGCTTCCTGGCTATGCCCCAGGGCCTTTGCACTTGCCATTCCCTCTTCCTGAAACTCACCTCCCCACATTTTCTCTTTCTTCAGATCTCTGCTCAGATGTCCCAGCCCTCGGGAGGACTGGTGGCTGCCAGCAGTACACGTGTTTATTTTGTATGTTTTTTTTTTTTTTTTTTTTGGTGGCACTGGGGTTTGAACTCAGAGCCCTCATGGCTTGCTAGGCAGGTGCTCTACCACTCAAGCCACACCCCCAGCCCACACATAATTATTTTGTTTCTCTCACTAGAAATGTGGGAACCTCGAGGGCAGGGCAGGGATTTGGTATGTTTTGTTCACTACCTATCCCCAGAGCATGGGACAGTGCCTGGCACACAGCAGGTGCCCAATAAGTGCTGACCAGATAGCTGGCAATAAATATGTGCCTACTGTGTGCCAGGTTACAGCTGTAGGTGACTTAGCTTAAATTATCTCACTGAATGCTCAGACAGCACTGTGAGGTGGGTACAGTCAGCCCCTACGGGCCCTGAATCCACAGATTCAACCAACCATGGATCACAAATATCCATAAAAAGACATTTGTTCTGAATGTGTGAAACTTTCTTTATAATTATTCCCTAAACAATGTAACACACAACCACGTAACAGCATTTGCGGTCATCTGAAGACGATTTCAAATCTACGGGAGAACCTGAGTAGGTTGTACAGAAGTACTACGCTATTTTCCAGAGGGTGTGAGCAGTCACAGATTTTGGCACCCATCGGGGCGACCCTGGAACCACTCACCTATGGAAAGCAAGGGACGACTGTACTACCACTATTTTTATTGAACGGCTAAGAAAACTGAGGCATATGAAGGTGACGTGTGGGTAGGAGTGGAGAAACTTGACCATAATGCAATGTTAATTTAGGTCTTCTTTTTTTTTTTTTTTTGGGTGGGACTGGGGTTTGAACTCAGGGCTTCACCTTTGCAAAGCAGGTGCTCTACCGCTTGAGCCACACCTCCAGTCCATTTTGCTCTGGTTATTTTGGAGAACTATTTCCTGGGCTGGCCTCAAACCATGATCCTTCCAACCTCAGCCTCCCAAGTAGCTGGGATTATATGAATGAGCCACTGTGCCTGGCTCTCTCAGAGTTTTGATATCCTATTGTGGATTCTTGTTGGTAAAGGACCAACATCTGAGCTTGTCTTTCTCCTTCCCTTATGACCCTCCCTGGAGCCCTCTCTGAAGCGTGTGTGTGTCTCTCTGGGCTTTCTGCTCTGGGATTTCCATCTGGGGTCCCCAGATGAAAGGGACTCACCTGCTTTTGAGATCCACTCCATGTACCCGTTGAGTTCACGTTCAATCTGCTGTTGCCTCCTGAGTTTCAGGAAAGCCCGCCGGTTCTCCACCCGTTCTCTTTCTTTGGCAAACTCCCTGTAGAAGCATAAAGAGCCAGGGTGTGCTGTTATGAGAATTCTAGGGAGCGTGTGTGCGTGCGTGCGTGCGTGTGCGTGTGTGTGTGTGTGTGTGTGTTTGGAGGTTGACTGGTGTGTGTTTAGTGGTTTCCAACAGCAGGGGTCAGTCTTCTGGGAAAGAATTGTAATCTTTTTTTTTTGGTGGCACTGGGGTGTGAACTCAGGGCTTCACACTTGCAAAACAGGCGCTCTACTGCTTGAGCCACACCTCCAGCCCATTTCGCTCTTTCCATCACCTGCATCCAGCTAGAGAAAAAATGAAGAGCATAAAACCATGCCACACTGCTACTGTTGGTTGCACACTCCACTCTCGTTCTCTGTAGACCTGGCTAAAAGATATTTTCAGGCCTCCTTTAAGTTAGGCCAATGAGAAATAAACTGGAGACTCCTGTGGCAGACTCATTTCCCTGATGTAGACCCCACCTCTTCCCGTGTCTCTCCTTCCTCTTCCCGTTTGGAGTGTGGTGTGGTCCTCTTGTGAGCACCAGGCAGCGTCTGGAGACCAGGAGGTGTCCATTGGTCAGAAACCTCTGGTCAGAGTGGAAAGCTGGAAGAATCTGAGGTCGCTGTGGGCACCATGGAGCCCCCACAGCAGTCCCCACAACTTCTTATAGTGACAAATGCGGAGTCCATTTATAATTAAGCTCCTCCCAATTTGTGTCAGGAAAATGCATTTTTGATTATATGCGATGACTTTTTTTTTTAATTTAGAAAACAGCAGTGGAAGAAACCCAAACAATTGTGCTTTTTTAGTAAAAAGAAAAATTCCATGCAGTAACATAAATTTATAGACAATAAAGCCCCCAGGAGCTGGCTCACTGGTTGCTCTTAGCAGTGCACAACTTGTGCAACTGTACATGGCTTGCTAATGAATGTCTGGCTGACCCAAAACAAGGAAAGAGCCTTGTTATTTGCCTGGTGACAAAACAACTTCCATGGCCTCTTTCTGGAAGGAAGTTCACAAGGAAGAGTGGGATGGAAGGGGGGAGGCAGAGACTTACCCAGAAAGCACACCCAGAACAAGGTTCAGCATGAAAAAGGAGCCGATGATGATGAGGGGGATGAAGTACAGCCAGTTCCAAGTGTTCCCTGAGGCGTCGTTGCTCTGTGGGGTGCAGAGAGGAACAGCAAGTGAGAGCTGAGTGGGACTCAGTTGAGGCCTGACATGGGAGAGCCTCCTGCTCTCCTGGGGCTCTATCTCAAAGGATCACAAAGGTCTCTCTTGTCACATGTCCTCACTGGACCTTGGAACCAGCATGACACCTAAGAGAACTTTCCAGAACAGATCCCAGAAGGAGAAGGGGGAAAAAAAAGCCATTGAATTGGAGAAAGGGATCCTTGCATCCCTCTCTTCTCCCCACGCAGTCACAGACACCCCCAGCATGGGTGATGGACTGAAGCATCTGATGAAGTCACCAAGAGAGACAGCAGGGCCACGAGCCTTTTCCTCGTCTATTCCCTATGGTGTCAATGTCAACCACACACACACCCACACAGACACACACCCACACCCACACACAAAAAACCTCCCATAAGTGCCCAGCTCAATTCTCAAGGGGGGAGAAGTCCACAAAGAGGACACTGCCTGAAACAGCGAACAGGAAACTGCAGGAAAGAGGAGGACAAGGAGGAGAAAAAGACAAGAAAAGGAAGAAGAAAAAGGAGGAAGAGAAGAAAGAAGAGGAGGAAAGAAAAAGAACGGAAGAGAAAGGAGGGGAGGAAGAGAGAAGGCAGAAGGAGGTTGCTGTGAGAATAGCATCTGCACTTGCATATGCTCTATGCGCTGTGTTTGAGGGTCCTCCCCTCGAACCACTGCTCTGTGAATTCACTTACTCATTTCCTCTTCATGGTGCCTTATGTTACCCCCGTACCCATTTTACAGTCGAGAAAACAGGCTCAGAAAGACAAAAATCACCAGAGTCACAGTCAGTTAAGCAACAGATGTGAGATCTGCACCAGGCGCCTGGCTCTCCCCCAGCAGCCATAGAGGACTTCACCTCTCTGTGCCTAAGAAGCCTTGACTCCAGCTATTGGTGATCCAGTGGCTTGTCACCCTGTGGCACCTGCAGAACACAGGGCTCCCCCATGTGGTTTTAAAAGCTTGCCCAAAAGCTAAAAGGAGAATGAGCAACACCGCCCGGTGTTGCTGGGGCTACGGAGCGACTAGAAGTCTCGTGCCCCGTGGGTGGGCGGGTGACACGGTGTATTAGTCTCCTGCAGCTGCTGTAATAGTCACAAACTGGGTGACTTCCACAACAGAAATCTACGGTCTCCCCGCTCTGGAGGCCAGAAGTCCAAGGCCAAGGTGGGGGAGGGGCAGTTCCTTCTGAGGACCACCAGACAGAGTCCACCCCCTGCCGTGCTGCCCCTTCCGGTGCCTTCCCCGTCATCTTTTGTGTCCCTTGGCTCGTAGCTACATCGCCCTAGTGAGCCTTCATCCTCACATCAGTGTCCACACTTTCTGTCTTCTCTAGGGACACCAGTCCTAGTGGATTAAGGACTTACCTGGTGACCTCAGCTTAATATGCAGTGACCCCACTTCCAAAGGTCACATTCTGAGATACTGGGCGGTGGCGGTGGTACAACTTCAATATACGAGTCATATCTGTTTATTTTCTGATACAGGATCTTACTCTATAGCCCAGGCTGCCTTCAAACTCATGATCCTCCTGCCTCAACCTCCCAAGTGCTGGGATTACAGGCGCGCACCACCATGCCCAACTAACATACAAGGGAACACGTACAACCATAACCACTCTGAGAAATGAGTTGAGAGTTTTACTCAAACTAATTATGTACTTTGGTGACGGCCTAGTCACGGCACTTTTGGATGACTGACTCGATAGAAGTAGAACTCACATTCACCAAAGGCATACCCAAGAACACACGTAGAAGTGATGTCCATGAAAAATTCCCAAACTGCACAAGAATCTAGATCTTTATCAACAGGACACAGGCTGGAATATTATCCGAGGAAGGACAGTCAGATGTCACATATGAAATGTTACCAAGTTAATATTGAGCCAAAGAAACCAGAGAGAAAACAGCACACAGGGAATATTCCACTTACGTGAAATGCAAAACTAGGGAAACTATAGGTGCAGTGGGTCACGCCTGTAGTTCCAGCGACTCAGAGGCAGAGACAGGGGGATGGTTTCAGTGCAGGGGTTCAAGGCCAGCCTGGGCAACATGGTGAGATCCCATCTCAACAAGACAAAACTAGGCAAGCCAGGGAACAAGGCTCAAAGCCCTAAGGAGGGTCCCCTTCGGAGGAGGTAGTGACTAGGGAGGGGACATGGTGGTGTGGGGGCTCCAGAGCTGAGGTTCCTCACAGTAATGTTAGAACAACATTATGTTCAGTTTGTAAAATTTGTTAAGCTCCATATTTATAAGCCATGGGTTTTCTATATGCTTATTTTGCTTCAATTAAAAGAAAACCTTTTCAAAAGCTGGGCATGGTGGCGTCACCTGTCCATCCTAGCTACAAAGGAAGCATAAGTGAGGATCACAGTCTGAGGCTGGCCCAGGCATAAGCGTGAGACCCTATTAAAAAAAATAACTAAACCGGGCACCAGTGGCTCACGCCTGTAATCCTAGCAACTCATGAGGCAGAGATCAGAAGGACTGCGGTTCAAAGCCAGCCTGGACAAATAGTCTGTGAGACTCTATCTCGAAAAACCCTTCAAAATAAAGGGCTGGTGCAGTGGCTCAAGGTGTAGGCCGAGTTCAAATCCCAGTACTGAAAAAAAAAAAAAAAAAAAACTAAAGCAAAAAGGGCTGGAACCGTGGCTCAAGTGGTAGAGTGCCTGCCCTCATGCAAGCATGAGGCCCTGAGTTCAAAGCCCGGTCCTGCCAAAACAAAAAGAATTAAAAAAAAAGATGTTGTTAGGCATGTGACTCAGTGGTAAGCACTTGCCAGGCTTGCATAGGCCCTGGGTTCAATCCCCAGCACCACCACCAAAAAAAAAAGTTAAAATAGCCCATTTTATGTTATAGGTGTTTTGCCACAATAATTTAAAACAAATACGTCCGTTTTAATCATGGACGAAGTCAGGATTCTGGAAAGAATGAACATTCCAGGCCTGAGTCCACGCCTTTGTTCTAGGAAGCCCCAAAATTCCAACTCGTTTCTTCTAGAAGGTTCTGGAAGAAGTAACAGTGTCAGCAGGGCATGGGGGGACAGCAGGCCGGGCTGGCTTTGTGCTCTGTCACCACTGCATCCGAGGACTTCTTGGTCCCATTTCTCAGGGCTAAATATAGCCCTGGCAGCAGACAGCAAGACAGAAATCTCTGCCTGTCACCAGGGCCAGCAAAGACAGGGACAGAGTGGGGAGGCAGAGGACGGGGAGGACCAGTGGCCCAGGTGCCTGGTGTCCCGGTCCCCAACAGGCTAAGGGCCTTGGGCCACAGGACGTGGTGCCCACACAGTGACAGTCACACATGACAGCCCAGTCCTACTGGAGTGCATTTAATCTTCTCATGAATCCCAAGGTGGCACAAAATCATTCCCATCCCCCCAGACAGGGAAACTGAGACATGGCGTGGTTAAAGTCACATGTCCACTGCCCTGTTGGGAGTTTCATGGAATGTCCCAAAAAGACGTGTCAAAGTCCTGGCCTGGGGCACCTGCAGATTGGACACTGGGTCTCGGCACAGGTGTGAACAAGTCAAGATGGGGTCACTGGGGTGCACGCTCATCGTATATGACTGATGTCCTTATGAAACAAGCAGGGAATCCGGGCACAGGCAGACATGGCCACGTGATGAGGAGGACATCACAGTGGCATGTCTGCAAGCCAAGGACTGTCACCAATGATTGTCACCAAACCAACTGAGGCGAGGAGACAAGCCAGCAGGGTCTCCATCCCAAGTCTGAGAACCCGTGGCCCTGCCAACACTTTGAGCTTGCACTCGGGCTTCCAGAAATGTGAGACAAATACACTTTTGTTGTTTATAAGTCACTTTGCTACAGGAGCTACCGGAAACGAACAGTCACCAAGCTACTAAGTAACAGAGGCTGTCTCCCTTTTTGTCACCTTTCCATCTGTCACCTTATCTCCTTCCTTTCTTCCCCTAGCTTACTCTGTTCCAGCCACAGGGCTTCCTTGCAGCTCCTCCATGACACGTGAGGCACAGACCTACCTCGGCCTTTGCGTGGGCTGCTTCCCTGCTCTGTCCTTTTTCTTCCTTACCATATGACAGATGCCAGCCCCTAGCACAATGTCTTGGTTTGAACTCATGGCCTTACGCTTGGTAGGCAGGTGTTCTTACCACTTGAGCCACTCTGCCAGCCATTTTTTTTGTGATGGGTTTTTTTTTTGAAATAGGATCTAGAGAACTATTTGTCTGGGGCTGGCTTCAAACCATGATTTTCCTTATCTCTGCCTCCTAAGTAGCTAGGATTACAGGCATGAGCCACCAGAGCGCCAGCTCACAAATGTTTGTTGAATGAATGAAAGGCAGGCCTAAGTTTCCTGCATAGCCTCCATCCTCAACTCCAAAGCCAAGCTCCCTCCTGAACCTTTGCCTGTATCTTCCTCACTGGAGACTCAGGCTCTGCTGCCTGATGTTGGAGCCACCTTTTCTGCTTTTCAATTCCCTACTTTGGATCCAATAATCCACAAGGAAGAGATTGGTGGAGGGTTGGATTAGAAAATGACCTTTCCTTGGATGAGTGGAGCTGTTTGCTCAGGAGCAAAATGAGAAATAAATTTCCCAAGGAGCCTGGTGCCCGTGGCTTATGTCTGTAATCCTAGCTCCTTGGGAGGCTGAGTTTGTCAGAATTGTGATTTGAGGTCAGCCTGGGCAAATAGTTCATGAAACCCACCAAAAAAAAAAAAAAATCCCAAGGAGATGAACTGGAGATGTCCCAGTGGATTAACGACAGCTCTTCAGCACTGGTGGAGGGCACGGATCCCAGCCCTTTGGGGCTCAAATTCAGGGCAGCCTCATTTATGAAGTTCATTGGTAACAACCAGGAAGCATGCACACTGCCAGAGACAGTTCCACTGCCAGCATCCGATCCCCCATGGGTGCTGTCAGCACACATTCCCGGTGATAGGGTGAGTGGCCTTTCTGGCCAGTGGGGCCAGTGTCATTTTTTGA